GCATTGATTGCGGTTCTTCTCGACGTAATGGCCGCATCCTCCAGCGATTGCATCGCTTCACGGACTTTCGCACTCGGTTTTAGGGCGCGGCTCGGTCGTTTCGGTGACGGTGGGCGGTCGGCCACCTCGATCACTGCCTCAGGTTGCGCCGCCGCCGCCATCTCGCGCTCCCTTGGCAGGGCGGCTCACCTTCCGAAAAAACCGATTTTCTGTTGGATTGAGCTGACAAGTACCGCGGTCAAAAAGGGCAGATAAAAAGAAGTTCCTCCCTCTCTCGCCTCAGGGTTGTGCAGACTGTGCCTTTTTCAGTTTTAGAGTAGTTGGATGAAAACAATGATGCAGGTCGTGGTGGATCACATGAATGAAATGGGGAGTCTCCAATAGTACGATGTACCTCTTGAAACTCCCTATCATCGGGGAAAATCTTTTCCGTGGCCCCACTCTTTTTACGGCCCGTCGAGACATTCCCACTGCTCTGCTAGACAGGCCCCAAATGTTTCCACTCCTTCCTCTCCGAAAGAGTGATACCGCATCGGGCCAGAAATTGATGCCCACGACCAGCTCGGAGATAATCACCAAGGATCTTGCAGCTGCCCGCACATTGTCCAATGTTTGGGGATTCGTCGAGTGCGCACCCTACTCCCGTCAAGCCGAGGCCGAGAGGATTGACCCAGAGCAGTCCGAGACTCAGGGTGCCCGCCCACAGGCCGGCCATATAATCCTTCTTGACGCGGTGCCTGTGAGAGCCCACAGCCGATCAGTCGCCGCGACGTGAACTCGATGACAATCCTACGGTACCAGTACCATTGCCATTTCTCAGTATTGCCTCTGTCGCGCCGTTCGAAAAGCTCAAGAAAGGTTGGTCTGCCCATGCGCCAGGGAAGCTCGTTGCCGCATGAGCACTTTCGGATCTTCATCTGCAGCGGCAACCACTCCAGCTCCTCGCCCAATTTAGGCTCGACTTCTGATCGTCTATCCTCCGCGCCACTCTTACGAGCCTCACGGCCGGCAGCACTTGACTGAACTTCTCAACTTCATGTAACCCAACCTGGAAACATAGCCGTTCACCTTTCCCGCACACTCAGCGTCTCAACCTTGATCAGCCACGTCCTGCTCATCCATACACCGCACCCGAGTTCACAATTCTGTTCACAAGCAACCCATACCTCAAAGCCATAATAAGTCCCATAGGCCGCAGCTATAAGCCGTGGCTCGGCCGTGACTCCTCAAGGTCGGTAAATAGCATGCTGTTTGGCATTTGCCTCATCCTCTACTTTATCTAGCTGAGATCAGTGAGGATCTCGGCCAGATAGGACTTGGCCTCGTCCGGGTCCCAATCTACGATCTTTTCCTCCTTGCTCTCCTCCACTTTCCGCTCGACGAACAGCTCCATCCGCCTCTTCACTTTCTCTGACAGTACGTGCATTCTCCCTTCATAATCGCCGGCGACATTCTCTCCAAAGAAGCGCTCATCTAGGAACTCCCAAAACACGGGCTCAAACCCATAGCACCGACGAGCCGCAGGGATGGCCCAGAAATCCCCCGTCTCCCAGCTCCGTCTCATGGGGTCCGGCAATCGAACAGTGTCAGCGGCGCTGAGGCTCAGGGCTCCGATGTGCTGGCCGATCGACACTCCTTCTCCTCCTCCTCCTCCTCCTCCTCCTCCTCCTCCTCATTTTCTCGCGGCGCGGCGTCCTCTATGGCGCGTAGTGCCCTGAGGAAAATTTCAAGCGCGCCCACGAACTGGTCCCAGAAGTCCAGGAAGGTACCGCGCCAGAATTCGGGCGCTGTAAGCAGCAACCACCACGGCGGAGCCTGGGAGAAGGAGGCTGGGACGAAGTAGGCCCACTCCCAGTCGATGACGCCTACGACGTTGAGGTCGGCGTTGATAAGGATGTTGTGCGGCCGGAAATCGTCGATTTGGAGACGGAATGTCTCCTTCTCCCGCTGCTTCCGCCTCACCTGTTCATTTTTTGCGGATGATTCCCGGGGTGTCTGCGCCGCCAGGAGCTTCCCTTGGCGGATCTGCTGCCGGAAGAGGTGTTGGGCGACGAGTTTGTCGCGGCAATCGTCAGCCGAGTCGATTGCGTTGTTGTGCTGGAAGGCCAAGTGGGCGACGTGGAGGTCGGCGAGGACAGCATACCACTCGTCCGAGGTCGAATACGTGGCGTCTTCCGGAGGGAGGATGGAGGGTGGGATTCCGCCCATGGTTACGAGGTCGTTCATATTTTTGGTGAGTGGGCGGCTGCCGACGATGAAGGATCTCCGGTTTCCCGGAGAGAGCCAATTTTGGGCATCTCCAGCTTGTAGAGCTGCAGGACAATGTCGGCAACCTGCTTGTACATTCGTTCGAGCTTTTCCCGGGAAGCGTTGGGGTCCAAATACTGCCGATGGCTGTTCTCGACTGTTGGGTCGCCGAGCAGCTCGGATAGGTTTGTGTGTGAGGAATAAAATCCATGATGATGAAGGCACCGAGCCCAAAAGGGTTCTCCGCAGCGGTGCCCCAATGGTAGATGTGCGGCACTGGAACCGAAGTCATCTTCTCGACGTACCGCATGGTTGCCACCTCATTCCGGACCTTCTCGTCTCCAAAGGCGACGCTCCCTGCAAGCGCCACCCGGACGATCGCATGGCCGTCGGTGTATTCGACCCCAAAGATAGCATTGTAACCCCCTCAGAGGGTCGGATGGGGCCGTACCGCGGTTCCTGGCCGGTGTTTGATAATGAAGTCATAAACCTCCAGCAATCGATTCTCTTCACTGAGGGCGGTTATTTTCTTCTGCAAAAGGTCGTTGAGTTTCTTCGGCTCTCGCGTCCACAAGCGAATCTTCGAACATGCGATTCTCCCGGTCCCGCTTGTCCGTTGGGGCGAGAGCAAGGGCGGTGGCGTTGCTGATGATGCTGCGGTCCTTGCATGTATCTGCCATGATTGAAGTTTGTATTCTGGGAGAAACCAGACACAATTGCTGGAGGACTGGGAGACTCTCCAACGGTCTCCGTAACCTAGTGTTCAGCTCGGGGTCGAAGCGCTACGGGAGGTTGCGGCGTTCTGGGCCCTGGGCGAGACCTTGATTGGACGCCAAAAACGGAGAAATCACCAACCAACCATTCAGTGCCGCAACGTCGCGGCAACGATCGCCCCTTTTTAGGTCGGGTGCGCCCCGCTAACAATCTGCTGCACGGATAACGCCCAACAACATGCCGGTCTCATGGATTGTTGGTGGTTTGGCCGGTGGCGTGGCCCCGTCACTGCATGCTGGCGCGAGGACCCAGACAGAAATAGCTTCTCCCAAGGCCAACACGCAGAGATTCATGCCCAACGCCGAGGCCTTAGGGGTTGAGGCCGCTTCACAAAAGTCGCTTCGAAAACGGGACGCCCGGGAACTGGGCAACCGGAGAGTAGATCAGGCATGTTGGCTTAGGTTCGATGTTCGGACACGCGGCTTGTTTCACTGGGCTTGCTATGAGACGGGTACTGACCACGGGCAGGGCAGTTCAGTTAGCCTCGAGCTCGTCGGGTGAAGGGCGGCCAGAGGCTTGAAGCAGACGCCCCTTTGATGGACCGCCGACGTTCGGTCATGATACACGATGGAACATCAAGAACGGTCAAGCGGCAATGTCGCCGCTTTGCCTTTTGGGCAGAGGTAGCCCAGGGCTTCCCGGCTAGGATGGGGGATGAGGGTAGGGGGTTGGTGTTCCTTGGTATATAAAGTCAGCTTGAAATCAGACAATGGTTCATCCATGTTCAGATCCTCGCACAAGGGCATCACAGCAACAAGACTTGAACGTTACTTTCCCGCTTCTCACACTTACCAGATTTGTTTGCCGTCTTCCATTTCCTTCCGCACCTAACCCAGCAACCCAGCAAAGATGAGCCAGCCGAAACCCCATCCCCAAAGGTCTTCGTCCGTGTACTCGCAGGGCTCCAGCTCGAGCAATAGCGGAGCAAATCCTCCCACCCGCTCTTTTCCAAGCTCGGGCTACTCGCCCGCGGCCAACCGACCCGGCAGCAGTGGCAGTAGCGGTCCCGGCTCCGGCGCCGACATGCCTGCTCAGGCTAGTATTATGTCCGCCTACGGCCATTCGAGCTACGGTGCAGCCAGCCAGAGCGGCGCTAGCGACAGCAATAGCGGTAGCGTTGGCGCCGCGGGACCGGTCCGGCCCCTAAGCGGCACGTCCTAAACCAACACGTTCATCCAGTCGGCGCCGCAGACGTCGCCGGCGCGTAGCGCATCACCAGCGCCGCGCCCGCCGGGGACGACCAGCGGTACGTCCTACTCCAAGACATCCATCCAATCGGACCCGCAGACGTCGCCGGCGCGCGGCCCTACGCCGTCGAGCACTTCCGCCCGGCCTCCGTCGCGAGGCGCCGCCGTAGACCCGCCGGGTGTGCTCTACAACAGCAGCTTCATGGCCAATGTTCCCCCGAGCGATGTTCAGCGCCTCAGCCAAACCGGGCTGAGCTCGCGCGAGAGGAGGGGCGCCAAAGAGAAAAAGAAGGGCTCGGGCAAGAAGCTTTAAGGAACGCTGTTGTCAAAGTGTTGTTCCACATCAGGATTGCCCCGCAGTCGGGAGTGTGAGTTGGGGAGCGCGGGAAGCGGCGTCATGGCGTTAGAAGGGTTGCTGGAGGTCCCTTCGCTTCTGACCCTATTTGTCCTGTTTTGTACTTGGTGCCTTCGTTTTCCTGCGTAAAACACTACGTTGTTAGCGCAAGCCGCTGTACAACGTTAAGAGTGTAGCTGGATAGAACGTTTTCCTCAAGACCCGGTAAATTCACGACGTGAAGGAATGCGATACTAAATCTCAATGTAGGCAGTCAAGCTGTTGTTATTGTCGTCGTCAATCTCATTCTGACGAGATTTAGTGTAACGGGCCAGAATGGCTTAATCGCGAAGCGCAAAAAATTATTTCATTGCCAATGCCAAACAAATTCGAATGAAATCCCTCCAACCTGGAGTACTAAGTCTGGGGTTGAATGAACCAACTGCCGAAACACGGGATTGAACCGTGGACCTTGTCATTTCGCAGAATGAAGGTACGAGTGACACGCTCTACCACTGAGCTATTCCGGCTTAATTGGTATGGAGCGATTTAATAACCCCTTTTAAGCAGCTTGGCAAAATGTGTCGCTCTCTCCAAGTTGAATCCCTAGATCAGACCGTCAGCCGAGTGTCACATCTCGCGTGCCTGTATTCGTAACTATCCATATACTTTCATTTTCAGGCAGACAGCCTAGCATTTCCTAGCTTACACGAAGTAAACAGTCGCGCCTCAACCAGTGAGCTCAAACCCAAATTGGTATCCCACTTTCTCTCACACTCAAGTTGGCACATCCCCACCACGGAACCGCAAACTCCGAATTCCACAATCTCCTTCCAATTTCCACAACTATTGACAATGAGCACTTCCGTAGAACCTTGCATCCCCACCACCTCAGTTCATGGGTTGAAAATGGACGAATAGCTCAGGGGTAGAGCAACCGGCTGCAGTCCGGTAGGTCACGCGTTCAAATCGCGTTTCGTCCTCATCTTTTTCATCCGCGTCCTCTTTCTCCTTTCCTCTCGTCATTTTTACTTCACCAACTTCCCTCCCCAAACTCCGTCACCCGCTCCCCAAACCACGCCAACGCCACCAGATACTTCTCCCAGTCATTCCTTGCGGCGCGCTCCTGCTCCATCATCCGAAAGGCCAGAGCCCTCTCCAATTGCCACACCTCGTGATACGCCTCGACGACGCACTCCCACGCCGCGCAAAACTCGGTCTCGACGCTCGCGAGCCACTGGAGGCACCCTCTGGTTTGCTCGCGGTTGTGGGCTTGTCGGAGGAATGTTTCGACCTTGGCAGCGGCGCTGTCGATGGTTGTGAGAAGAGTCGCAAAGAAGGTCTTGATCTCGAGGGTGCGTGATTGGCGGCACTCGTCGAGGGCTGATCGCAGCTCTTGCTGGATGGTGAGTTCTTTGGCGTTGGAGAGGGCGTCCATGAGGCTGGTCGTGCGCGAGAGAAGGGCCGAGAGTTTCTCGATGTGGGTCGGTTCCGTTGGTTCGGCGGGTTGAGGTATGTGTTCTGGTTGTCTTAACGGCTCGGAATGCTGGGCCTGCTGCTGCTGCTTCTCCTGGATCTCGGACTCGCGCTGGACTTCGGCCATGACCCTCTCCACCTCGCAGTACTTGCTGTAAAGTCCTGCCTCGAGTTCCTCGAGGAGGCGCCTCTGGCTTTCCTCCCAGAGCGAAAAGTCCTTCACTCGGAGACCATGATGCTCTTCCACCCACTGATCGTAGGCCGTTGCCTGTCCCGCCTCTCTTTGGCGTTGGCGCAGCCATGCCTGCACCGTATAGCCTCGAGGTGCGGTGTCTCGCGTGTTCATGATGTTGTCGAGGCTGTCCTCCAGGAACCCGACATTGCTGCCGAAATCGGGTACGGCATCTAGCGTAGCGAGTATTTCAGGAGGAGCATCATCCAATACCTCATCCTCGGTGGCATCTGTGTCAGACGAAGGAGACTCAACCGTCCCAAGTTCGATGCCAAACTCGTCTCCGTTATACCACATCGTCTGGCTCTGCTGATTCTCGTCCTGCTGCGAAAAGTGATGGCGGCCGAGGCGGTCTCCTCCCTCGATATCTGGGAGTGTAACCCACTGAACTCTCTTTTCTAGTTTTGGCTGATTAGGATGATGGTGATGGCTGTGGTGTTGCCTGCGAGTTTGGTGATGGCGACCTCCCTCTCTACCATGGTGTAGTCGGATTAGCAGACCGCGGCCTCCATTGTGGGCGCCATGTTGCACATTGCCCCGCTTGTGATAGGAGCTTCTGCCATGGAGGCCACTGGTACCGTCACTACCTCGCTCGCTGGATCGTGTTAGGCCGGGATGGTGATCGCTCTTACCGTCGTGGTCACGACGCGGAGACTGATGATGACCCGTATTCCAGTATGGTTTCATTGTTGAATATATGAATCTTAGGCGGCCTTACTGCTCTTCCTTGGTATAGACTCCTGAATACTCTTCGTGAATGGATGAATAATCGGCCATGCAGCACGCTCTCCAAGGTTCCCACAGCACTCTCTCCGTATGGGCATTGTTCCGTTTTATTGTGATGTCCAACAAAGACCCAAATGATCTTTATCTCGGTTCATTTCAACCCGTCATCCTCAGCACGCGATGCAACAAGTCCTCCCAATTGGAATCTCAAGTCGTACGTAACAATGTTTCCAGCAAAGCAGATCATGGTGCCAACCAGGCTATACTATCTTCTGTCAGGGGTCATGTATACCTCCCATTGAACTCCTGGTAATGGTGTCAGTGCTTATTAGGGTCGGTCGACTTGGACCTTGAACACTCGACAATGCGTCAGCTTCCGTCATGTCCTGTGACCCAGCAGCTCAGAGCACGTGTGCACTTTGGTCAGTAGTCGCCGGAGATCATTAACTATCACTTCAGAGCATGTCCTCTGTACCTTAGTTCGCGCGCGTTTGTACCCGGCTGGGGGTAGACAATGGCTTTGAAACGACCGCTTCTAAGACTTCATTACATCTTTGACTCGTCTTTGTTGTTACCCCGTTGTTCCTCATCCCAGTCACATTCTCACCACTCAAAGAGCTTTTTTGGTGCGGGTTGGGTACCATTCCCAACCCGAATTTCGTTCCTGGACAAACATCCCACAGCAGTGCTTCACTACTCGCCCTCGTGCATCAGAGAGGAGCGGCAATGCTTCAAGGTGACACACGAGATAACTTAGATAAGCAGCACAAAAAGCCCCTTAGGTCAACCCGATTGGGTCTGAACACAGCTGGGTTGCTATCTAGCCAAGACATAGGAGCTTTCACCCCCACGGACCATATTCTCCTAGCATCATGATGTCCCGATATCTTTCGAGGAAGTCACCCAAGGCGTCGACAAAACGATCCAGCTCGTCATCCGGCGTCCCCAATATCATAGCAATGAATCCCCGCCTCGTCGTCCAGAATCCAGCCTCGAGCATCTCAAACCAGAAAAGATCCCTCAAGTCCGGCCTCTCCTTGCCTCTCAGATCCTCCCCACAACCGATCTCCTGTGTCCCATCCTCCGTAAAATGCAATCCGATCAGCGAGCCCCTCCCCGTCACACTCAACCTCGAACTCTTGGCAACCTTTCCCAACCTCTCCCTGAACTTCTCCCCCCTTTCATTGAACGCCACACACACCGCGGCCGTATACACTTCCCTCAGCACCGCGGTCCCAGCACACATGACCAAGGTATTGTTATTAAAGGTTCCCGAATGCGCCAACGCCCCCTCTACTCGGGGATCATACACCTTCATGACCTCCTCCCTCCCACCAAATGCGCCAAACGCAAGCCCACCGCCCAGATACTTCCCCAGCGTCACCATATCCGGGTCCAGCCCCATCTCCCATCCCAACCCACCCGGCGCCAACCGCGACGTCATGACCTCATCAAGAATAAACACCACGCCCTTCTCCCTCGCCGCCTGCCTCACCCCTTGCAGAAACTCTCTCGTCCCAGGAATACACCCGCCAGCGCCCTGCATCGGCTCCACCAGCACCGCGGCAAGGTCCTCTGTCTGTTCGATCACCTGCCTAGCGAGAGATAAGTCATTATACCGCGACACGACGACAAAATCCTGCCTATCAACCGTATTCGCCGCCGGTTTCCCGTCAGGAAACGAAAGCACAGCGCCATGGTACCCCCCGGAAAAGACCACAACCTTCCGACGGCCCGTGAAATGCCTCGCCCCAGCCAGCGCGTGCAGGTTGGCCTCGGTGCCCGAGTTGGTCATGCGCACGCGGGCGAGACGGAAACGGTCGCAGAGCAGGGCGGCGAAGGTCTGTTCGTGCGGCGTAGTGGCGCCCAGGGAGAGGCCCGTGTCGGAGAATGTGGAAAGCAGGGTGCTGTGGATGGTTGGGTGGGAGTGGCCTAGCAAGCCGGCCGAGAGTTCGCCGACGAAGTCAACGTATCTGGATGAGTAAGTAGTTAGGTATGCGGTGTAATACGAGCTATGAAAAACGGTGTGACGGGTGGAAGTACTTGTGGCCGTCGATGTCCCAGACGTAGGCGTCTTTGCCTTGCTTCATGCAGAGGGGAAAGGGCGAGGTGTGGAGGAGGGTGCGGGTGTTGCCGCCGGGGAGGGTGCCGACGGCGAGGTCATGTTGAGCCTTGGATAACGGGTTGTTCGTGATCAAACGGGCCTCGGCGGCACCAAGGGCCGCTCGGGCTGCCTCTTGACTCGGAGATGGAGGACGTTCTGATGCCATAGTGGAGGGTCAACGCTAAGATGTACGGCCAAGATCTGATACATTGATGATTGAGGGAACACATAAACCAGTCAGCAACATCGATTGCGCGGAGAGTGAGCAGGTGGTCAGTTACCCCTCACATGTTTGCAACGATAAGACTATAAGTGCTCGGCTGCGTTGCTCGCGTCGGGCCTTGCGGACCCACTTGCCGAACACCGTCGCCATATGATGACCCATGTCCTAGCGTATCGGGCCGTCGGGAGATGCGGTGTAATTATTGATGCGGCATCCGCGGAGGGGGGTAGTATTCAGGTAGGTATGCCAAGCATACATCATTCCCGGACACGGGTTGACGGTGGCCGGCTCTTCAAAGGGCCTGAACTTGCAGACATAGGACATCGGAACGTGGCTGCAGGGTGTCAGGAGTCCTGATGGAGATGAACCAAGCCCAAGTTCAGTGATTGCTGAGCTGAGATACCGAGATATTCTCTGTGCCCATGGTACCGTCCAAGGTAGGATCAAGTTGTTGCACAGTAATGGTGAACTGATACGTCTCGACAGCAGTTAGAACCTCGAAGTCGGATGCGGAGAGCCTAAGGTGACGGGTCGTAGACTAGTGCACCTCACGACACAGTCTCCTGGGGACGCGTCTGGATCCGAACGCAGTCCCTGCTCTTGAAGATACCGGAGAAGGCTAGAGAGAGCATAGGGATTGGTGAGGTCCACCCGGTGGCATTTGTGGTTGCCTTTGAACAGGGACACCAATCCGTCAGCCTCCTCGCAAGCCAGTTCTACCCAAGGTTGTGGATAATTCGTCTCCCCTTGCCCCAGTACTACAACACACAGAAGCCAGCAGGTGCTCATAAAGGGGCTGCTGAGCGGCTGGTTAGAAAATGTGACCTCCACCAGGCCAATGGCAAGCTCGTCCATGAAGGAGCCGCCCGGCCTTGAGTGGGTGAAGCAAAGGTGCCCTCCATCCCACAAATGACTTGGATGGTATCTGAAGACCAGTTGAATGTCGTCGAGTGCGACCTTCCAATAGATGCGCAGCGTAGTACGGCCAGAATCAGGGCCGGGCGACGAGCGGAAACGGCACAATGTGTCGTAGTGCTGCTGCTTGGTCAACGACATCGAGATGCGGATGGAACCCGGATTATCGAAGTACATGGCAGATCGTTTGATGGAACACAGTTCCGTCGGCTTGAATCTGATGAAACCGGAGCTTGTTTTCCGGAGCAAGATGGCGAGGCCCTCTAGATTCTGACGCCGAGTCAAGTGCGGATCTAGCAATTGACAATGGGGAAACAGCCGGTGCAGAATAGATTTTTAGAGTAGCCAGGTTTGGTCTTGATCGAATTGTCGACACCTCTAGTGATGATTGTGTGCTCCGAGTCCGCCCAGGCCAGCGCGGTAGTTATCTCGATCCCAGCATTCGTGATGATCCAGGAAGGGCTGGGCAGTAGCGGATCACGAATGTGCGCAATTCCTGTGCACGCTGAGAATTGAGATGGATCGCTGGCTAGGAGGCCTGAATACAGGGTGGTGGACGGCTGTCCCAACGCATCCAACGGATCCGCGATCCAAGCGAATAGCGACATGTCATTGACCTTTTGGGCTATCGTCTGCTGTAGGCGGATGAACGCTTGCTCTCTCTCGCCGTAAAGGAGCGGCATGTGCATGTCGAATATGCCCAGGAGAGAATAAGCCTCGTCCTCGAGCCTCGTTGTCTGCCGCCCGCCGCCCACGACATTTGTGTCGCAACCGGGACGCTCTGCAGGTTGTTGTCCGGGCCGTGGGGCTCCATTAGGACCATCTCCGGAATGCCAGAAATGTTGAAGAGAGCAGCACAGAGCTGTCTCTTAGTTCCTCGAGGATTCCAATGGCCATCGTCAAACTCGACCTCGGACGGCGCAAGCAATTCCTGCAAGGTCCAACCGCGGGTAAACCACCTGCATTTCTGGAGGTCCTCTTCGAGTTGCGGTACCGGTGCCGGGCTCAAAGTCCTCAAGAAAGGCGATGCAGCGATCTGCCATTTTGTACCAATAAAACATGAAGTTGATGGCCTCGCTCAGCTCGGCGCTGCTGGTTTTGTCGATGCAGCAGGTGTCTATCCACACATGGGTCGGGCCATTTGCCGGCGCGAGTTGGCACATGGCCTCGATCTTGCGGAATCCCTTCTTTTGCGAGGTTCGGCTCAGGTCCTGCATGTCATGGAACGTGACCTCGTCGCGCCCCCAAGTATGTGAAAGGATCCAGTATTTGTTATTACCTTGATCGCTGTCGAGGTTGTTCGGCTCGAGGCGGTAGTTGGAGCAGTCGAGGAGCCACATGGCGGCGACGGAAATCACAGAGCTCGGCGAGGCACAATCGTTGGGATTGAAGAGGGGGGGGGGGGGAAGAGGCCGTCGATGGAACTCAGGAAGGTACGACGAGAAATCCCTGCCATGCACAAGCAGGCAACTCAGCCCAATTAAGTCTCGACGGAACGGCACTCAATCTCCCGCGGCTTCAAAAATCGAACCTTACTGCTACCGAGGCAGCCGTCAACAAATTTCTCTCAATCCCTCCCAGCTCCTTCTTAGCCAAAAATGATTCGACCCTCACACACCGCAACCCCATCAATGGCCCTCTCCCTTACTCCCCCCTAACTCCTCCTCAACATCCACAATAACCGACCCTTGATCATACATCTCCGCCCCTTTCAACCTCCCAGTTGCAAAGCCTGTTACATTAAAACCAGACGACGACGACGACGACGCCGCCGTGCTCCTGCCGCTGACACTGCTCGACCTGCGAAGCATGTGATGCCGCGAAAGGGGGAGCGACTCCCGTCTCCCAGCGGTGGTGCTCCCCGTGCGCACAATAACGGGGATGGTGACATATGGAGGAGTCGATGGCCCGGCGGCGGTGGGCGTGGTGTCGACTTCGAGGGTGCGGGCGCCACGACGGTGGCTGAGGGCGCGCTGGACCATCTTAAAATGGGGGAATTCGACAGGTTAAAAGTCGATTGAAGTGACTTGGTTTCGTCCCAAGGTCGTTTCCTTCCTCAGTGCCCCTATAATAGCTGATTTCGGGGCTACCTCAATCTAGTAGAACCGAGCGGATGGTGAGTGAGTGAGTGGATGAGTTGACGACCAGTTCCTGCTAAACTCAGGTAGTTGCTGGTCGTGATGTAGGCCTCGTTGAGCTCAAGTTGAGGTTGTAAGGAGCGGCTGCAGATGGGCATGCAAGGCGTGATTGCTCGAGTGTTCACGCCTCGAAAGCGGCGTAGTTTCAAGACTAGAAGTATTACTGGCGGGAAACCCACGATCGCTCCCCCATGTTGCGTTGGCCGGACTTTTTGTTCGATGAGCCCCGACTCCCGGCCTCGAAAGATAGATTGCCAGCTTGGAGCAATGCACAGGGGTTCGAACACAGGGGAAGGCCACGACGCGGCTCGTTTGCCTCGGGCTCGACAGCGGGGTGAACAGATGATGCATTGATTGTGCCTTTCCTCTGTAGAGGAACCCATGCCGTTCGGTACCGTTTCGTCGCGCTTCCATGGGTGGCCCGGCCGACGGCGTGGGACCGGCCCGATGTGAGACGACCCGAGTCAGGCACCGACGGCAATTCGCGCGCTGCGAGTGTCGTCAGGGGACAGTGGAGAAACCATGCTCACGCTTTTCCGGAGTAATCGGCTCTTGACCTTGTGCATGCCGTAGCAATTCGGTTCAGTCCGAATAGCATTGCTTTCTCTTATGAGGTCACTCGAGAAGCGCAATGGGTGAAGCTGCGAATGAACGACCGAGGTAATGGAATAATTATGCCCACTGTTGCTTGATGCGGCCAACCTACGCGACCGTGACCCAGCGTCGACCTCATCTGACACTTGCCCATGTAAACCGAAAACGCCGAAAGATTGTATGGCATTACATTCCATTACGAAATCCGCAGTTTTTGATTGAGGTTCGACCCCAGGTCTGCCCTGCGAGATCGTCGTCCTTGGAACGCTTGATATCCTGCGCCGTCCTTCAAAGAGGAAACCTTGGATCGCCCTCCGCCATCGGCATCGTGGGTCGCCTCGTGAAGGGCTCCATAGCGTTGGGATGGGCGTTCCAAAAAGGCCTGTCGCGCTGCCTGTACCGTGAAAGCACGATGCCAGCATCCGGCACAGCCAAACCCCGGATGACTCGCCTGTTAACCAAAAAATGTGATATCATGACACCGTTGTACATGCACTTGTACATCCTGCCATAAAATACACCACCGTATTCGTACACCGCTGCCTGTAATAGTACACCATCGTACATTCCCCTCATCAATCATCACGCCACCTCCTGCAACTCGTTCTTCCTCTCGTAGATGTGCACATTGATCGTCTTCAACCAATGCCTGATCCTCGGCAGGATGGCAAACTCATACTCAGGCAAACTGGCCAACTCCCGCAGGAAGGGACCCCAATTCCCCTGGCTGACCGACGCCAGGAATTGTTCGATCTGCTGGACTACGCTCCGGGTGCCTTCGTCGCAGTACAGCCCCGCCATGCGCATTTCCTCGAGTAAGTTGAACACGGCGGTCGGGTCGCCGTACCTGCTCCACAGGATGCGCGCCAGCTCGTTGTAGAAGGGCGTGCTCACGCCCAAGACGAAGCTCGCCGGCCCGAGCTCCTTGACGCGCGGCAGGATCTGCAGGGCCAAAGGGGAGGAGCGGGCAAACTGCGTGTCGAGGATGCGCAACGCGTTGAGGAGGTAAGCTGGGTAGAGCGGGCCGTAGATGTGCAGGGCCAATTGGGGCTTGTTGGTCTTGCGCTTGCTGCCACGTTTCGGGTTGGGGTCGGCTTTGGACGGGTCCTCGTCGATGCCGAGTTTGCGGACCATCGGGAAGACCTCTTCCTCGAGGACGTCCCAGACTTCGAAATCGGTCTTTGCGGCGCGCAGCTTGGCGTCAACCCGGTTGCGCTCCTCGCGCCGGAGGGCTTCGTTCTGAACGGATTTGGCCAAGGGGTTGAGGTCAAAGTCGACCTCGGCTGAGGACCGCTGCTCTTCGCTCATGCTTTCGTTGCGCCCTGCGGCGGTGTCCGCGAACCCCTCTGCCTCTTTGCCTGCCTCAATGGCGCCCAGAGCCATGCGCGCAGCGTTCCGAAGGGACGGTGGGAACCGAAGCAGTGCCTTTTCCCATTCCGTGGCTGATTTTGTTTGTTCTAGAGGATGGAGGGGGACGAAGGGTTTCTGAATTTGCCGCCTGGCGTTGGATTGAGCCTCTGCTGCGTCCTGGACGATAATCTCGACCGTGCTTCGGAGCAAGTTGGAGCTTTGTTCCTTTGTCCCACTTTCCAGTCCGTCAACCTCGCTAAATGGGCGAAGGTGGGAAAATGATTCCGAATGTTCTTCGGCGGTCGAGGCTACGTTATTTATGGGTGGCACCGGGGAGGGCTGCGCAACGGCGGAAGCGCCTTTCTTGTTACGGGCTGCAATCTCTTCAAAAATGCGACTGAAGACATCCTGCTCTGCAGGTGTAATGGTCGACGGCACGCCAGACTCGTCAAATGGTTCGGTATCTGACTTCTTGTCCGGATCCTCGTAGCCTTCTGGCAACTCAAACGGAATATCATTGCTTTGAGACTTCTGCTGCCCCGGTCGATATCTCGGGCTGTTGGCTCTGGTGGTTGAATGGAGGAGGGCTCGAAATGCGGGAGTCGAGAGGCCGGTCCTGGACAGCCTTTGAAGCGTTCGAGTCTGGTAGAGAAAGGGGAGGAGGGTCGCCATGGCGGGCTGACCGGCAGCTGATGTGCTCTGCGTTGAGCGAAGATAGTGATTCCAGATGTTGCGGTGTTGTAGGGTGCAGGTTTCGCCAGAAGTAAATTTTCCCTTACCTGCTGCGCCAGTTTCTTGGGTTGGTGGATCTGCGTTCTCCCAATTACAGTAATTACCTGACCTTACGTACCTAGCTGGCTTAGGTCGGCTCGGCCTGGACCCGCTTACCCCGTGATTCCGCGAGTCGCGAGGGTTAAACTTAAATTGATTCGGGCCTCGCGCTTGTCGCGTTCTTGCTTTGATGCACCCACTGTGCGCACTGCAAATAAGACCAGTATCGTACTTTGAGCTATCATCTCACTTGACGTTGCGAAGCTGAGATCGTCTAATGTAGACAGTCATCATGGCGCCAAAAAAAGAGCCTGTCATTAGCGAGTTCGAGAGGAAACGCCTCGAGAACATCGCGGCCAACCAAGCCATCCTGAAGGGAATCAGCACGACCGCCGACAAAATTCTGCCGAAAGCTGCCCCTCCAAAGTCGAAGCGGGCAAGCACACCACGGGCCAAAAGGGAGCCTGTCAAACGAGAGCCACTCCGCCCGACACGGCAGAGCAGCAGATTGGCGGGCCTCGACGCAGATGCCGGGGTCCTTAAGAGGAAGGCAGAGATTGAAGCAGAGGTCGAGGCGGAAAAGGCAAAAGCCAAAAAAATGCGCGTCAGCGGAGACCTGAGTCTCGAGGATATCAAGGTTGAGGGCCGCAAGTGGGAGAACGGGCTTGATGGGTTGGCTGGGCTGAAGGATCTTCCCGTCAGGGGCGCGCAGCCTGGTGTGAGGACGTTTACGGACGAGGATGTGAAAGGGACCACGGATAAGGGGCTTAAGGACCTGAGGTTACGAATGAGCGGGCTCAAGCTCTACGAGAAGTGGCCTGTGCAAGGTAGGCCGCGTCCGCAAGGAGCACAGCGCAATCGCTAACACGAAGACAGACATCAAAATCGTGCCGCAGCGAATTTACGCGATGGGCTTCCACCCAACAGAATCCAAGCCGATCATATTCGCCGGTGATAAGGAGGGCTCCATGGGCGTGTTTGACGCGTCACAGGAACCTGTCAAATTGGAGGACGACGAGGACGAAGAGGAAGAGTTCGCCGACCCGGTAATATCCGCATTCAAGACACACTCGCGCACCATCTCATCTTTTCATTTCTCACCTGTCGACGCCAACGCCGTTTACTCCAGCTCCTACGACTCGTCTATTCGCAAACTCGATCTCGACAAGGGCGTCTCCACCCAGGTCTTTGCGCCGACCGACGTCGACGAGGACATGCCCATCAGCGCGATCGACATGCCGTCAAGTGACCCGAACATCATTATCTTCTCAACGCTGCAGGGCTCACTCGGGCGGCACGATCTGCGCACCAAGCCGGAAATGGCCGAAATATGGAGTCTCACCGATCAGAAAATCGGCGGTTTCTCCCTCCACCCGATGCACCCGCACCTCGCCGCGACCGCTTCACTTGACCGCACCCTCAAGATTTGGGACCTCCGCAAGATCCAGGGCAAAGGCACCGCCCGCGCGCCTGCGCTCCTCGGCTCGCACGACTCGCGCCTGTCGGTCTCGCACGCGAGCTGGAGCAGTGCTGGTCACGTCGCGACGTCGAGCTACGACGACAGGATCAAAATCTACGCGTTCCCCGACGCGGGCAGGTGGAGCGCGGGGGCCGAGCTGACCGAGGAGCAGATGCAGCCTGCGCGGCAGGTGCCGCACAACAACCAGACAGGCCGGTGGGTGACCATCCTGAAGCCGCAGTGGCAGCGCAGCCCGCGGGACGGGCTGCAGAAGTTTGTCATTGGGAATATGAACCGGTTCGTGGATGTGTTTGCGGCGGACGGGGAGCAGCTGGCGCAGCTGGACGGGGAGGGCATCACGGCTGTGCCGGCTGTTGCGCACTTCCATCCAACCATGGACTGGGTTGCCGGGGGTAACGCGAGTGGAAAGTTGTGTTTGTGGATGTGAGCGACCTGCAGGAGTAATGCCATGTTGAGCGTTGATATTGTGGCTTTGTGGGTTCCCGGTTAGACGTGTCATTGATGGACGGTGTTGTGCTGGCGGGTTGAAGGACACATGCTGTTGTTAGCTCAAGACACCGTTTAGAGAAGGTCCATATTATTGCTCAACCATCCGCTGGACATAGAACGCAAGATACCAACAAACGAGTGTGAAGGTTACTTGTTCATCGCCTAGAATCATGCTTTCCAGGGGACGGCTCCGGCAATACCCGCTCGCATGTGATCGCTTCCACCGGCGCCAGTCATTGAAGGTCCGCCGCATTGAATCCTGCGTCATGGGACTCGGCCTTTATCGATAGAGGCAGGGGTCAAGCGACTCGCATGATTTTGACGGCGACAGAAGGCTCCTGGGAACTTGAAAATCGGAGGAGAGAAGAAATGTCTTATCTCAAAGTGATAGAATGTATCCCCAGCTCTTACCCGTGAGTGGAACGTTACCATTCCCAACTTGAAGAATCGTCCAGTGTCTTGTAACTTCCGACATCAAACGGACCTTGTTGGATCTTGGCACGCTAGTGCTTGGGCGCCCAGGGCCCCTGTGACAGGCAGCTTGGCACCCGTCGTTGGCGCCTGTGGAGCCCTGCTGCCCTGGCTGCGCTGCGGCTCGGACCAACTCGCCGCGTACAACCCTGATCCCCTCTCCCGATGACAGCGGGACTCATACAGGCCTTGCTCACCGGCCAACCGCCGTCTTCAATGTGCAGTCTGCGTCCAGGCAGTAGACGATAATTGCACTCTGCGATATCTTACAGGGTTTGGGCACACTTCAACCTGATTGCACCGAACATCCCGCCACCTCGAGGTCGGCGCTGTCCCGTCAGCTGCTTATTGCGCCGGTTTCCAACTCGCTCTCGAGCACGACTAACCCTTTCCCAGATCCAGGCACCCGTCTGCGCCTGCCAAGCTCACCGCTGCAGTTGCACCTCATACTAAGGTAGGACGGTTCGTCCTCCTGTCCGCCCTGTCCGATCCACGCCTCTCGTCCTTTTTGGAAACTCACATGCCCGTGTCTGTGGTTCCAGCGTAGCCTTCACTCTCTCCCGCTTTTCCGGAGAGATCTTGGCCATGGACACCACTCAACCGGCACCGCCTCCCGCCCCGCCGCGTCATCCCCCCCATGTGAGCGCCGAACCGACGGATACGGGCACACAACATTCCCCGATGCCCCCGTCGTCACCGCCGACCGCGCCGGCGCACGCCAGCCACGATGATCGCGCCGTGCGTCGAGTGTCGAGGAAGTTGCAAAAGAAGCGCCGGGACGGCGAGCATACCCCCACGATGGAGCTCCCAGATCGCTTAAAGGACCACGGCGATCAGGCCGACAATGAAGAGGAGGTGCTCCGTCCCCAGGGCTACGGCGGCGGCATGTTTATGAATATGAACCAGAGCATATTCGGGTTGATTGCTGCTGCCGGCAGCCAAGCTGACTTTGCGGATCGCTTTGAGGGTCATAGCTCCGACGACGAGGACGACTCTGAAATCCCAATGGCTAAGACAATCGCGGGACCAAAGGCGTTGGGGCGTGCATCATCCCCGGCCCATAGCCTGGCTCACACAACAGTCCTTCTACGGCATGGCCCGGGCCGGTTAAAGAGTGAGCTGAAGACTGAGCTCCGCCATCGAAAGAAGATGGTAGAGAGTCGTCTGATGCGGTCTGTCCCGGGGCTTGCGCGGATCACCGATAAGATCAAACACAAGTCAGCCAAGGTCAAGTCAGATGCGCACGGGCAGATGCATGAGGACAGTGCTGCAGAGGCTGGAGCGTCGGCTATTTCAGACTTCACGCCCAGCATCGAGATCACCCGAACCGAGTCCAGGACAGCGCCCGTCATGAGCAGGATGCTGGAAGCCCGTGCCGAGTTGGCAGCGCGGCCCAGCTTTGATCTTGACAGATTGTCCGACGAGCCCTCGCAGATTACCGACGCAGGCGACTCGGGGCCGTCGGAGCTCGCCAAGAGGCTCAAAGATATCTTCGAGTTTGACCGGCCAGAGGAAGTCATCGAGGAATACCCCTGCTGGCTCCTGCAACATGTCCTCCTCCAGGGGTACCTGTACATCACTGCGCGGCACATCGCGTTCTACGCGTACCTGCCCAAAAGAGGCGTACGTGTTCCTAGACCTGTTTTCTTGTGGCCCCTTAGTACTGACCCGCTGCAGAACGACGTTATCAAGTCGGGCTACCTGTCAAAGTCTGGCAAGCGGAACCCCAAGTACAACCGATACTGGTTCCGCCTCAAAGGCGATGTCTTGTCCTACTACCGCGACCCCCAAGATTTGTACTTTCACCAGGGCCACATCGATTTACGATACGCCATTTCGGCAAACATCACCGATAAGGATAAGGAAGGGGTCAACTTCGCCGTCGTCACAGACCAACGCACATATTATTTTCGAGCCGACAGCCCCCAGAGCGCCAACGAGTGGGTTAAGAGCCTGCAAAGGGTCATTTTCAGGTCGCACAACGACGGCGACAGTGTCAAGATTTCGCTGCCGATCGAGAATGTCATCGACATTGAGGAAACCAATATGCTCGACTTCGCCGAGACGTGCAAGATCCGCGTCATCGACAACGACGAGACATACGCTATCGACGAGGTAGGCTCCGTGTGCTAGAAATGTCTGCACAGATGTTGATGATTTGCAGTATTTCTTCTCCTTCTTCACTTTCGGCAAGGAGGCTATCAACATCCTGAAAATTCTTGTCGAGGATGCGTCTTCTCAGGCGCAAGGGGCGAGTGGCCAGGCAGAGCCAAGCTCTGGGGAGCAGTCCTCCAAGAGAACCAGCGGCAGCTTCAACCGAGAGCAAGCGCCTAATCTCAGTATTCGCACAGGCAAACTCAGTGAAGGCGTCAAGGCCACTCTCTCCCCGATGTCGCCCAAAGGCGTCTCCTCGCCGAGCCCACGGCCCAGCGCTGATCTCCCGCGTACCAGCTTTGATGCCTGCCGACCGTTTACCAGACGAAGCATGGATATTCAGCAAAGTGCGATGCACTACGCGCTGCACTCGGGGACGCCGCGCCGGAGCTTCAGCGGCAGCCGTCGGTCTCTCAGCAGGAGCCGCCAGGACGGCAACGAGAGGCAAGAGAGCAGCGACTCGTACGTGCAGAGCATGGGTGACCCGAGCCAGGCTAGCCTTTCGGCGCTGGTCGCCTCAGCCAGCACTGAGGATGCTTCGGCGAGCCAAATCTTGAAGGGAAGCGACGTGTTTCACAGCCCAACCATCCACCGGGCCATGCGTGCTCACGACGGGCAGCATCCCTTGTCCCCAACCCATGCGGTGCGGCATACATCCACGCCTGTGAGCAAGCAGCCGACTCATTCTCATTCGGCTCCTGCCCAGGGTTCAATCGCCGAGGCGAGAGAGGCCGAGGCGATGCCGACTACACCAACTCTCCAGACCATTGCTACCATGGGAGGCTATCCTATTCGCAAGGCAAATGCCTTCATTGGGTACCTAGACCGGCACACTAGGCACATGAGCAACCTGCTAGCCACAGAATCTATGGGCTACGTGGAGAAGGTCTCTGGCATGTGGAAGGGGGGCGGGAAGCACTATGACGAGCCAGCGGGGCTGCGGACAGACGATGAGGATGGCGAAGACGACCCGGAGGAGCGTGCGAATTCTGAAGCCCGGTTCCGAGCCCATTTCGCTTTGCCTGAGAGCGAAAGGCTCCAAGCTACCTACTTTGGGCACTTGATGCGCGTCCTGCCACTCTACGGAAAGATCTACATTGGCGACCGCCACTTTTGCTTCCGGAGTCTGCTGCCCGGTACACGCACCAAGCTCATCCTCCCGCTGAGGGACATCGAGAATGTCGACAAGGAGAAGGGGTTTCGGTTTGGCTACGCCGGCCTTGTCGTTGTCATTCGCGGCCACGAGGAGCTCTTCTTCGAGTTCTCCAGGGCCGAGGTGCGAGATGACTGCACCATCACCATGCTCCAGAGCCTGGAAGCCACGAACTACCTCCGCGACTCCAGCCCAGTCGACAACCCTGAGTATGAGGTCGCCCAAGCCGCCGTAGCTGAGCACGACGCGTTGCAGAAAGCACGCAATGATGAGTTCGTCGACCACGCCGTCCAGCTGCCCCACGAAGCGTCCTCCGCCTCAGAAGCACCCACAATCCTTTTTGACGACCCCAAGGCCTCCTTCATCAACTTCAAACCCGCCCACTCGATGAAAATCACATGCCTCACCATCGGCTCCCGGGGCGATGTCCAGCCCTACATCGCGCTCTGCAAGAAGCTCCTCGCCGACGGCCACCGCCCGCGCATCGCGACTCACAGCGAGTTCAAGCCCTGGATCGAGTCGCACGGCATCGAGTACGCCTACGTGGGCGGTGACCCGGCAGAGCTGATGCAGCTGTGCATCCAGAACGGCACCTTCACGTGGGCCTTCCTCAAGGAAGCCAACGCCAAGATGCGCGGCTGGCTCGACGACCTGCTCGCCACCGCCTGGCGCGCCTGCCAGGGCAGCGACCTGCTCATTGAGTCGCCCTCAGCCATGGCCGGCATCCACATCGCCGAGGCCCTCGGCATCCCCTACTTCCGCGCCTTCACCATGCCCTGGACCCGCACCCGCGCTTACCCGCACGCCTTCATCATGCCGGGCCAGAAGATGGGCGGCGCGTACAATTATGTCACCTATGTCATGTTTGACAATGTCTTTTGGAAGACCACCGCCCACCAAATCAACCGCTGGCGCAACAACATGCTCAGCCTGCCCAACACCAGCCTCGAGAAGATGCAGGTCAACAAGGTGCCGTTCCTGTACAACTTCAGCCCCTACGTCGTGCCACCGCCGCTGGACTACAGCGACTGGATCCGGGTCACGGGGTACTGGTTTCTTGATGAGGGCGGCGACAAGTGGACGCCGCCGGCGGAGCTGACCGAGTTCATCGAGCGCGCTCGCCGGGACGAGAAGAAGATCGTCTACGTCGGGTTCGGGTCCATTCTCGTGCCAGACCCGGCCAAGATGACGCAGGAGGTGATTGATGCCGTGCTCAAGGCGGACGTGAGGTGTATTCTGAGCAAAGGGTGGAGCGATCGGCTGCCGAGCAAGAAGGATAAGGATGTAGGGGAGATTACAGTTGGGTTTGAGGCAGACAAGAAGCCCGAGCCGGAGCTGCCACCTGAGATTTTCCAGATCCAGTCGGCGCCGCATGACTGGTTATTTAGGCAGATTGATGCCGCTGCGCACCACGGAGGCAGCGGTACCACGGGCGCTAGCTTACGCGCGGGCATACCGACCATCATCCGGCCGTTCTTTGGCGACCAGTTCTTCTTTGGGACTCGGGTTGAGGACTTGGGGGTCGGGATCTGTCTCAAGAAGTGGGGCGCCAATTCGTTTGCCAGGGCACTGTGGGAAGCGACTAACAGCGAGCGGATGATTGTCAAGGCACGGGTGCTCGGGGAGCAGATTCGTAAGGTATGTTTTGTTCTGGCAAAGGCGAACCCTCAGGACGATATTTGCAGAGAGTTGGGGTGAACTGACGGTGTATCTGTTTCTTCAGGAGAATGGCGTCGATGCGGCTGTCCAGTGCATCTACCGCGACCTGGAGTATGCCACGAGTTTGATCAAGTCCAAGACTGGCAAGTATCAGAAGGGGGTTGGTGCGACCGCGGGAACGGCCACGGACGGAACCGCGTCGATGACACCTGGGGCGGACCTGCTGGAGGATGACGAAGAGGAGGAGAGCTGGACGTTTGTGGGCGGTGACGCCGAGACCATCGATGACCTCTCTGCCGAGGGCATCATGAAGAGGACGCTGCCGGATCTGAGCCCTGGTGTTCCGGGGCTGAGGGCGAGGCCTCTGGGGAGTCGGGTGTTGGGCGGTGCTGTTGAGACTGGGGTGGGGGTGAAGATTGCTCGGTCGGGTTAGACTGGGGGCGGAGCCTCATTGTGAGATTTCTGGTCGTGTTTACCCTGGGGCTTCCTCTCTCACTTTGAGTTTCCATCTTGGATGTGCCAGGTTTTTCTTTTGCACTCCTTTTTCCACTTCGGCGGACTGGAGCACCCATGGGGAGGTGCACCCCCATCTGGCTTATGGGTTAGAATCGGCATTGGAGTATGGAGATGATCATGACATGGTGACGACTGGGGACATGACGGGCGCGGCCGTTCGACTATAATAGAGACGACATCAGATTGGCTTGGGCTGGACTGCATTGGATCGACTACATAATATTATGCCTGTCTCCCTTGAAATGGTCCACAGTTGAATCCTTACAGGATCTTGGGACATCCGGGGCAAGAATAGAGGAATAGGGTAGACATACCATCGCAGTGCCTTCCTATAACCGGGCATCTGTTTGTGTGAGATTGGTGGTGACGAAGTGCGTGACGCTTTCCATGTTGGAAGAGGCCGCAGCAGTACAATGTTCTCCGCGCGAATCATGGTTGAATTAAGTTGAACATATGGGCTCGGAACAGATGACTTGAGCCTTCGAGTTCCAGGATCATGTTGAAAAATCAGAGTGCTAGACACCAACTCACTCTGAAACAGGTTTACATTTTCCGTGCCTGCTAATCACTGAATTACTCTCTTAGCAAATAGCATCTATGTCTTTGCCTCTTCTGGGGACAATAGAAAGCATTGAGGATGCCAAATGACTGGCTGGCGTCAGAAACGAGTTCTTTGATAAGGCTTCTCAGCTCTTTGTGTTACCTAGGGAATCTATTTCAAGCTGGTTTGCTGGTTGGGACGCGTGTTACTGTGAGCACTGGCATGGATTTAGGAATCAGCAGTCCACGCATAGCTCGGTGGCGTAACTGCCCCATCGCACCCTAGCAGTATGATCCATGAAAGCTACAAATGCGTCGATTTGCTACTGTGATGGGGAGAGAATGATTATAAGTTGTTGCTTTGGGGATTCCTGCCTTGACTCTAAGATGATGACCATGACGAGCTGTCCTCTGAGTCAGGAGATTGATGATCCAACGGCACATGCACGACTCATTATTGGCTGCGCCACCTGACCAAGTGTCGTGCCAAGGCACCAGCCAGATGTCAAGCATAACCACAGAAAGTACGGATACCGGACGTTTATTCCGCTACCTGTATAGAGCAGGTAGGTAGGTAATAACCTCTACTTATTCCTCTGAGTCCTTTCTTTTGCGTGCCAGTGTGTGAACTCTTCCTCGGGGAAGAGCAGTGATGTTGCCAAATTATAGCGCCACGTTCCAGCCACGAATGACCCCGCAAACGGTCGCTGCACCTGACATCAACTGGAAGATCGGTTGGCTGCAAAGACCCAGACCAGATCAGCCGTGCGAAAGGTACAAAAGGCCCGGCCAAACCCACCCGAAAACTCGGCCCATCGCTCTGCTACTGCTGGACTTTTTTGTCAATGCGCCCCCAATGCGACAAGACCACAATCCGCAACCCGGCATTACATCACCCTCAAGAACATCACCTCTCGCGGCACCAAAATTTATGGCATTTGCCTGCGAGTTTGGGACAATTTTCGATTGAGCAACAGTCTCTCCTGATCTTTGACTTCTGCCCTTTTATACCGAGTCTCCGATCAACAGTCTTTCGGGGTCCAACAGACCAGCTGCTCGGCTCTGGAAGACAGACCCACTCTCCGACTAAAGCGGCAGTAAAGCTCCTGGAGCTTTGACCAACTGACCGTCGCGCCCCACGCTTCCTAACCGTCTTGGGCCGTGCCCCACGTTTCTGCAACGCGGCCGTCGCAACTTTCCCGGTACATTGCATCGCGACGCCGGTCAACGCGCAGTGATCCCGCCAACCTCATACCAATTACGGCATTGCTGGCACTGATACGCGCCATTGCGCGATGGGTGGCTCAGCTTACCCAAACAGTGCCTCACCAACATTTTGGGCAGCTGATAGGTAAGAAATATCTGCCTGGTTTCCCATCGCGTTCCATCTATGGCGTTGGGGCTACTTCTTCGCCAATGACGTGGCTAACCACCGTAACTTCACTCAGGCTGAAGTCCAGATTCAAGGCATAGCGCATACGACCATCATAACAGATAACGAGAAGTTTCGACCATGGTGAAAACAGTCAGGCTCGGGAACCGGTTACGGTACCCCATCACCATCGTCAAGCTGCTCAAGGGACCGGGCGACAAGGTCAGAAAACAAGAGGCGCTGCTGGAATACTCGTTCAAATGGATGAGGGAAGTTGCCATCCGGGGCGAGACACGGCAGCAAGAACAGACGACCATCGTGACCTGGGAGTCGCCTATCGACGGCGAGCTGAAGCACTGGCTGATACGCGAAGGCCAGCAGATCGTAGCTGACAGAGGGGTGATGGAGGTTCAGGAGGAATGCGGGCACGAAATACAGTTCCAGGGTCTCTGCGGAATATGCGGCAAGGACATGACCGAGGTGAACTGGGCTGCCGAGACCCGGGACACGGCGCGCGCCCCCATCAGCATGGTGCACGACCAGACGAACCTGACCGTCAGCGCTGTCCAAGCTCAGCGCACAGAACAGGAACTGCAGCGACGCCTGCTTCAAAGTCGAAAGCTGAGCCTTGTGGTCGATCTGGACCAGACTATCATTCAGGCGTGCATCGACCCGACGGTGGGTGAATGGCAGAGGGACCCGACCAACCCAAACTACGAGTCGGTCAAGGAAGTCAAGAGCTTCCAGCTCGACGATGGCCCGACCGAACTCGCGCGCCGATGCTCTTACTACATCAAGATGCGCCCCGGCCTTGAGGGGTTCCTCCGGCGCGTTTCCGAAATGTACGAGATGCACGTCTACACCATGGGCACCCGACCCTACGCACAGAATGTGGCGCGCGTCATCGACCCGGACAGGAAGCTGTTTGGCAACCGCGTCATCAGCCGCGATGAGAACGGCAACATCTTTGCCAAGGATCTGCAGCGCCTCTTCCCCGTCAGCACGCGCATGGTGGCCATCATCGACGATCGATCCGACGTTTGGCCGCGTAACAGGCCCAATCTCATCAAGGTCTCGCCGTACGAATTTTTCAAGGGGATCGGGGATATCAACTCTAGCTTCCTGCCGAAACGCCAGGACCTGCTGAGCTCGGGCGCGGCCACCAACGGCATGAGCAAGAAGGCAAGCATACGAGAGCCGGCCGCCAAGAAAAACAAGGACGACGCCGCACTCGAAGCCATCGTCAACATGACCGGGGGAGACGATCCCGCGCTCACGAAGCGGCAGGTTGAGGAGCAAGAACGCACGTTCGAGAAGCAGATTAACGATCGTCCGCTCCAGGCGCTCCAAGAGAAGCTCGACCGCGAAGACGAGGAGGCCGAGAAGGCGAGCCAGGAACCCGAAGACAGCTCCGAGTCGCGCACGTCATCGCCTCCGCCGCAGCGCCACCGCGTGCTGCAGGACGACGACGAAGAGCTTAAATACCTCGAACAGCACCTCACCTCACTCCACAGGGCCTATTACGCCGAGTATGACAGCAATCGTGCGCTGCATCACACGACCAGCAATGTGGACCTCGGCTCGGTGCCCGACGCGGGGCGCATCCTGGACGAGCTCAAGGGCAAAGTGCTCCAGGGCTACAAGATTGTGCTGTCGGGCGTGCTGCCCAGGGGAATCGACATCTACCGCTCCGAGATCGGCCTGCAGATCATCTCGTTTGGCGCAGATCTCCGGCCGAAGATCGCCAAGGACGTGACGCACCTGGTGGTCAACGCGGCGCAGCCCGGTAGGGATAAGCTCCTCGAGGCGCGGCGGCGGCCGCACATCAAGATTGTCAGCCAGGAGTGGCTGGCCGCATGCTTCAGCCAGTGGGCTGCCGTCGACGAGACGCCCTACCTGTTCACGGCGCGCCTGATGGAGGAGGATGGCCCCGGCCGTCAGCAGCCCGTCGTCAGCGACGAGGACGAAGAGACGTATGGCGAGGCAGATACCGAAATTCAAGCTCCTAATGGCGTTAGGGCGAGCAACGGCCGCAGCCCTAAATTGAGATTGATCTTGCCGACTGGCGACGCCCACACCCTCGATGGCGATGGAAATGATTTGGACAACGAAGAGGGCGAGATCGAAGAAGGGTTGTTGCCCAGCGACCTGCCGGATGGCCAGGCCTCGCCCATCGACGGGCTAAAAACGTTCAACTGGGGCGACGCTGACGAGGAGCTGGCTGAGTTCCTTGCCAGCGGATCCTCGGAGGATGGGGACGACGACGATGAAGATGGGGATGATGAAGGTGAACAGGACGACAAGTACATCCCGCCTCAGGAGGACGAGGAGTCTAGCTCGACGGATGAAGATGTCCGCCGTGGCCGGGGAAGGAGGAGCAGGAGTCGTAGTGTGCAACCTCCTGGCGCCACTGCCTCTAATGGTAGTATCGAGCGCAAGAGGAAGGGTCGGGGGGAGGAGGAGGAGGAGAATTGGGGGGGGGGCGAGGGGCCCGTGGGTGAGACACCTGCTAAACGGTTGCGGAGGACGGAGAGTCAGCGGGGTTCATCGCTGAGGAGTATGTATGTTGCTGCGGAAAGTGGGGAGCAACTGGAGGCGGGGAGTGGGTTACCGACGCCCGGGAGGTCAGATGAGCAGGATGGTGGAGGGGTGGATAAGCCAAATGGGGAGGAGGAGGATGATGAGGGGACGGACTTTGATGCCGCGGAGCTGGAGGCCGAGTTTGAAGCCGAGTTTGACAAGGCGATGGCGGAAGAGGAGGCCGAGATGAAAGGCAACGATTGGGAAGATGCGGCGATGGAGGATACGGAGAAGGGGTAGAATTCCATCTTGTGGCAGATTCTTCGATGGTGAGGAGTTTGGGGCAGGTTATCTCAGTCTTCAGAATTTGGTCAACGGGTGGAACAAGCGTGGAATTGCTTGCTTGGCTGGGGCTGGTTTTGCACGGATGGAGTTTCTCGGGCTTCTGGAGCTGTGTAGAAACATCACACTAGTGGTATGCATACTCGCATGTTGCATTGTTGCTGAGTTGCTTCGCCTTTTGTGAATCTGTTCTCCTTTCAATGGAACTTAAGATAGCTTCTCGAGCTTGATTCTGCACACCCTGCCGTGTGGCTAACATCACATTTACGTAATCAGTTCCCGCCAATCACGCGGCCGCTAAACCTCGCATTTGGACGGGACTGTGCGATGCCAATTCGAGGTCGAGCTGCGAAAGCGAAAACAAACCTGACGACAACCATCTCAACCACAAGCGACACCGTACCACGCCGGCAAGCACCTCGAATCTACGTCGCGATACGAGCCGTTGATCTAGACGCGGAGTGAAAGCGACACCAGCAGGGCGAACTGTAATCGCCCATTGCAATTGAGGGATTGCGGTTGCGATTGCGATCGCGGTTAACCGATTGAACAACAGTTGAGAAGGGAACCAGACAACAGAGTTTCCCATCATGCCGCAGGATATGCCGCCTGCTGGCGGCTATGAGGCCGTTCAGTACAAGGTGGGTTCCGTTCCTTGCGTCATGTTTGCTTCCTGGGCTTGGGCCTGGGGCTTGGGATTACACGAAGTAGTTACCGTTTGAGGGGAGGGGATACAGGGGCGTGGACTGGCTGGGGACGGGGTCAATTACGGCCGCCTGACGACATTAGGGAGGTCTGGTTGGGTGCGACGGGCCGAGGGGAGATTTAAGCTTGGCGGGAGGACGTGGGCTGGGGGAAATGGAATACGGTCATGGGCATGGACGGACACAAGAGGAGGAAGCGGAAGCAGAAAGACAGCGATGCCGGCGCTTTGGACCTGAATATCATACGGCCATGACTGGTTAGGCTTGGTTGTTGGGAAGAGCGGAGGAGAACCACCCAAGCTACGAAAAACATCACCAAAGCGTAGCCCAGCCACAGCGACACCTCCCCATCTGGTCCCCAATAAAAACCCTACAGTCTCTACACTCCGCTAACATACTACTCCAGCGAAACCTCCCCTCGCGCGGCCTGTTCCGTCCGGGCCCGCTGCTCGCCGGTGGTGCCGTCTTGATGCTCTTTGGCTGGTACAAGCTGGTTGTCGGCATCCGCGAGCAAAAGTACGGTTCCGTATTCTCGTCCACCCTCTTCCTCTCAATCTTCTCCATTTGCTTAGCCCCTTAATATGTGCTAACATCACCGTCCAGTGAACTGGCCCGCGAAAAGATGTGGTCGCGCATCCATCTCATCCCGCTCCTCCAGGCCGAAGAGGACCGCGACCAGGTGCGGAGGCACCTGGCTGACCAGGCGAGGGAAAAGGAGCTTTTGGGGGAGAATGTGCGCGTCTATCACTCCGACCGGTACGTTATTCTTTATGCCCCATCTGGTGGTGCTGATGAAAGGTGCTGACGGGTCAACTAAGTTTTGTCCGGCCCACATTCGGCGTGACGCCGGGGACAGTTACCAAGGAGTAAGCGAAGTGTTGGCTGGGGCAGGCGGGGGAGTAAGGGGCAAAGGAACCGGAGACTACAGTTCTAAGGCGTGCCTGTGTATATACAGTGTTAAGGACTGATATGGAAATTCGCAGTTCTGCCACATCCCCGCACACAGGTCACCATGACGACAGGATATCCGAGATGTCCTCGTTGAAGGCCTCCCGCTGGCCATCATACACCAGTACACCCCGTGTCATCGTCCCATCACTCGCAGCGGGATGGGCAGGCACGTTGGGAGCAAATGTCGAAGGGCGAGAAACGCGCACGGGGAAATGAAAGCAACCAAGTTTTCTGCAAGTCCATGCTCAACATTCTCTGATCAAGGACCATGAGACCCTATCTAACTCCTCAGATACAAAAGTAAAACCCAGCTCACCACGCTCCATTCTGAGGTCGTGCGTCCCCATCGCTGGCTTGTTCTTGCCCTTTCCCATTGCACGCTACTAATTTCTTACCTCCAGTGTCTGACTGACTTCCAGAAATCGAAACCGATGGACTGCCGATCCCGGCTGACGTATGCGACATAACCTTTCCGGTGAACTGCAGCCGTTCGTCAATGTCGCCACCAGAGTAGTATTGTACCCTTCCCGATCTTTGCACACTCAACAGGATGTTTCCCTTAACCTCGTGATCATCGTCGAAGTGGTCATCATCTTTCTGTCCCCTTAGTCTCCTTATTTGTCGTTTTATAATCATCATACTCAGCCACGTCATATTTTGGGTTCAAGACCGGCGAATGACAAATAAAAAATGCCGGGCCGCTTGTGATAGTTCATGCACCCTTTGGCCTTACACAACGGCATCTCGTGGCCCAGCAGACGCGGGTAGCTGTCCGGATCAATTAAGCAGAACCACCCGTGGGTTGGAGCCAGCGGCCTGTTCTTCAAGTAGTCGCTGACGAGGACCGTCCGACGATACGTTGCCACAAGGCAGGGCGTATTGTCCCTTTCCGCGGCCAGTGTGGCTCATCCGTACCTCTCGAGTCGTATCGACCTGAGCCTGGTCTTCTTCACGTAGTGATGGTCCGAACACCCGGCGAGGTGTTTGTGAACCGCCAGGGAGTGACTTGTCGCGGCACGTCGGTTTGGCCGATGGACTGCTTGACGTCGCCCTCGACGCTGCTCCCTGCTTCGTAGTGAAGACAGTTGCATTTGTCCTGGCCGAAACATATCATCTCTGGTTGGGGTCCCGACGGATGTATGGGCAGGGCACCATGTTGTCAGCATCAATCGTCTGCCCACGTTGTCGGTAGCTCCAAAACAGAGTCAGGAGCCCGGTGGCGGTTGGTCGATCATCGAGGGCGCAGCTGAAGGCGTCGACGCCGCTGTGGACATTGCATTTCAATGTGAGCATCACCGCACACTCGGCATATCTGCCGGTCTCGAGCAATGCCCAAGGCCTGGTCAGGGCGCCGGTCGAGGAGCAACCCGCGTCGTGGATAGGGTCGTGGCACTCGACGGCGAACTTCTCAAGATCGCACTGCCAGTCACCCGGCTTGCACTTGTACCTATTGCTAATGTGGTCGCTGACTGTGCTTTACGGGATGACGACATGCTCGCAAAGCCTGACTGTGCCGTGGCGACCTAGGCAGAGCCGCGCGCCGGCTTCCGGCGTTCCGCCCAGGGCAAATGCGCCCCTGCCATGGTGGAGGTGGCAACCATGACAGTGGTTTAGAGAGGTGTCATACGGGGTGTTGAATTTGCAGCACGGCCCAAGGACTCTGTTACGTGCCCCGGGCCGGGCTCGATGCTGGAAAACTGACTCGGATTCCTGGACCAACCCTGAACCAGGAAGTCGCACCAGAGCTTACACTCGTCGCACATTCCACCTGTCTGCAACCGCCGTTGGAACTTCGTCAGTTGGTCCTTCGATAGGGTCTGAATCATACTGGATGTGCGTCAGCCGAAGGGGAAAATGACTTCAACTGGGCGGTACCAACGATCTTGGGGCAGGTTGGCCAACGAGTTGAAGGAACTTGCGCGACACAGGCCGGAGACAGTGCTCTGTCGCGGGGTCGTTGCGGATACAGACGAGAATAGAAGCAGTACCTCGTCCGACGGCCGATATATGCGGCTGTACTGCCTGTAGACCTGCGCGGCAATCAGGGGATCCATCGTTTTCTCGACATTCCTGAACAGTTCGGACATCTGTGCTTCTTGTTGATTCACGAGATAGTCTTGGTCGTCAGGCGCTTCCCACGGCTGAAGAGTAATGAGAACAGTAGCAAAAAGAGGATGAAGAGCAGCCAGATACATCGCTGTAGGGCAGACATTTTGATGCCGCAGCTCAAAACCTAGTGTTGGAGAGAGCCCTCGTGAGATGATGGCGCTCCATTGGTCTGGTGTTTCAGTATTCATGATAAGCCCAGCCCAGCCCAGCCTTTTTCAACAGTGAACAGGATGAGGAATGAGATCTTTCAACCCAAACACCATCGGCCTAGTTCCACAGATCCAAAATCTGTCTCCCACTTCCATCAATACACCCCCTTCTTGCCTCTGAAAAACGAACTCAGCCCCCCCATAAGCCCCTGCAATCCCTTCCCCTCGGCACCCTCCACCATACCCGACATGATCCAGCCCGGCAGCTTCCCCTTAATCCGTTCCGCCGCAAACCGCCGATCAACAAGCACCACGGCAGCATAATCCGCGCGGTGCCGTATCGCGCGCCCAATACTTTGGTTCACGGCCCGCATGCACGCATTCTCGTAAAAGTCGCGCGCCGCCTGCCTCGCCTGGGCCTGGGCCTGGGCCTCCGAGAGCAGTGCTGCAGGACTGTTTTGCGACTCCTCCTGCTGCTGCCGCAACCGGGATAGAGTGGTCGACTCGATGTACTCGAGCCGCGCCTTCCAGTCGGGCGAGTGCATGTTGGGGTACGGCAAGCCGACGACGACGACGCACCGCCCGAGTCGGTCCGAGAAGTTGATGCCTTCTGACAGCTTGCCGCCTACGACGCTGAGCAAGAGAGCGCCGCGAGGTTTGCTAGACGGCTGTTGACCTGGCGACAGGATTGCCTCGCTGTACCGCTGGAGGATGTCCTCGCTCGCCCCGCCCTTGGTTTCGCGGAAGACGGCCTTCTTCGAGGCGAGGCGGTCCCAGGTCGTCCCATGGGGTTTTGCTGCTTCCTTGGTCTGCCACACGGCGACCACGTCGTCGAGGTAGCCGTAGCTGGGGAAGAAGACGACCACGCCGTCGGGAACCACGGAGCATATGTTCAGAAGGGTGAGACCGAGCTGGCGGATTATGGCCGGGTCCTTGCGTTTCTGGAAGCTGAACTCGAATGCGTCAGGGACAGTGCTACTACCCGGCGGAGTCGGCTTTGTCGATACGAGAGTCCAAGCCAACAGATTGGAAGATGGAATGACGTGTCCGCAGCTGAGCGTGGTGATCTTGTCGGGTGGAAAGGTTGGGAACAGGTGCGCTTTGTAGTCTTCGAACGGAGACATTGTGCCGCCGGCCAAGATGACGGCTCGAGCGGCAGAGGCGATGGACGAGAAGGCGTGTGTTGGGGAGAGTAGGAGGTATGAGAGTTTAATATCGGGCAGGGTTGTCGAGAGCTTCTCGTAGAAGATTCGGCCCTCGCCGGTCAGGTTGGTGAGTGCGGTGAGAAAGGAGATGAGAATGTGGAGAACGGGTGTCGACGTCGCGGTCTTCGTGCCTGTTGAAACTGACGATTCCTCTTGCTCCGCATGACTGACGTAGCTTTCAACCTTATAAGCCAGCTTGGACTCTTGAATGTAACGAATCAGCTGGTACAAATTGATCTGGTCTGCACCCCGAGCTTTCAGGATGGTATTGGAATCAACGGTCCCTTGCTCTGCCTGGACGCAGATTTAGCGCCGCCTCCTTACAGACACAGGAAACATACCTTGGTGTTGAGTTGATCGTTCAAGCACTCCGTTAGGGACTCGATAACCTTGCCAACCTGAGCAACCATGACGCGGTTTTCTCCTTTGAGCTTCTTGCCAAATCGCTTGATGTAGACGCCCAGCATTTGCCTCGCTCTTCTGAGCTCGCTCAAGCGGATCTCTGCGGCATAAACATTCGCGACTGCATCCATGATGTTGTGTGCTTCGTCAATGATGACAACGTTCCCTTCCAGCTTGATACCCAGCGCCTCTCTTGCGCTCTTTTGCAAGAGCAAGGGGTATGGGAGCGTGATGACCTCGGCGCCCGGGATGGCTGTGCGCGAGGCATAATAAGGACACACCTGCAGGTCCTTGCCGACCCGGTGCAAGTCTTCGATGTCGGGGATGGTCGCCAGAGCTGCATCCCGGAACTCATGCGTCTGCTTCAAATTCTCGATGCTTGGCAGGAAGGGACATTTCTCTTTAGACTTTGACTGCTGGAATTCTGTACATCGGTCATTGATGGCAGCCAGGGATCTCAGCCGCGCGACCGAGGGATTGATACACAGCTTCTGTCTCGATGACAAGGGCAGCTGCTTGACCGTTTCCTTGGTGGGCTTCTCTCCGTCCCTTGCGCTCGCTGCTACCATATCCTCGGGAATCGACGGAGGGAAAGCCGGACGGCGTAGTTCTGAGATGAACTGCGCTAACTGGGAGTGGGTGCGCGAGGTGTAGTAGATCTGCAAAATGTCAGCTCAGAGCCAATGCACCCCCGCATCGCGACGAACCAACCTTGATTTCATCCTCCACCTCCTCACCCCCGTCTTCTCCTCCTTTCGCACCCCCAAGACCAACCTTCTCCATCAACTCCCTCGTCTCCTTACTCAACCCATCCAACCCGTCCCCCGCCTCCTCATCACCACCCGCCTCCCAATTTTTGATCAGAAACTCCCTCTCCTCGTCCACTTCCTCGCTTTCCTTCTCCCTCTCCCTATCTCCAACTCTGACCCTCTTGCCGCCCCTTCCTCGTGCCTCTATCTCTCTCTCTCTCGCCCGGACCCTCTCCAGCACCTTTTCCCTCTCCTCCCACCTCCTCCCCAGTTCCTCCCTCTTCCGCCGCAGCGCGGCCTCCACCATCCACTCGGGCTCGCCCCGCATGTCGGCGGCCGTCGCCTCGAACGAGGCCTCGTAGCGGCTGCGCTTGTGGGTGCGCAGCCAAGTGAGTGCGGCGCAGATCAGGGAGAGGGATTTGCCCTGGCATTTTGTCAGTGTCTTATGTCACATGGATTCAAGTTTTAAGTGAAGATCGCGGGTGGGGGTGTGGGGGAAGGGGTGTTGCGGCATACAGTCCCGGTTGGGCTTTCCAAGATGCCGACTTGGCCGTTTCCCTTTTCGAGGACATGATAGACGGTGCGCATGAACTCGAGTTGGACATCGTATGGTTGGTAGGGGTGATGAAAGTTGATTGGGGGGTTTGAGGTCATTTTGTGGGCTTTTGCTTCGACTTTGAGTTTGAGTTTGGGCTTGGTGGATGCGGTGAGATGTGTAGCGAGAAGCTGGCCATCGAAAACTGAGTTAGTTTTTGAAGGCAAGTGTGATGGCTCGTCCGAAGAGTGCTGGGTGCAGCAAAAGTCGAAACTGTAGAAGCATGAAACCAGGCAGACGGAAAGCCTTTCGAACAGTCACGTGAGCCGGCGACAGCACATGTTGCCCATTATGGAATGCTTGTGTACACAGTACATGATGGATATCAACCATGCTACAACCTGCCAGAACGCCGTTCTAGAATCGACTCCAAAAATACAGTACACTGCGCATGACACCAGACTCCGGCCAATGCTCCACTCAAACGTTTAGCATGTCCATTTCGTCGTCGTCCCCGCCGTCGCTTCTCCCCTCCTCTGGCTCCTCCAACCCCATCTGCAGGAACTCGTGCTGCAGAGCCTCCTCGGCACTGATGCGCCGGCTCGGATCCAGCTCCATGCACCGCTTCAAGAACTGAATAGCCAGCTTCTCATCCTCCGCGATCTTGTCCTTGGTCTCGCTCCGGCTCGTGCTCCACAGAATGATGCCCTCAAAGCTGAACCCGGACTTGCCGATGGTGGGGATGGATGTTTCCAGCATGCAGCCATGCAACAGCGCAGCAGCCTGCATGCGTTGCCGCCCAAAGATGGTGGCGATCTCGATCATGGCCTCGACGTCATCGGCCGAGTTGAAGAAGGGAAACCGCCGCGACAGGATGGTCAAGAGGATGACGCCGACGCTCCACACGTCTATCTTGGTGGTCTGCTCGGTGCATTTGAACAGCACTTCGGGCGCCCGGAATCCGCGCGTGCCGGCGCGGTTGGCTCGCCGCGAAGGCCGCGTGTCTTCCCGCGGGTATCCCCCTTTCTCATCTCTGTTGACCAGCGGCCGCAGCTTCGCCTTGCGGATAGAGGGATCGTCGTGACACACGCACGGCTTGCAATCGTACCCCTCGCGCTCGGCCAGGCCAAAGTCGACAAGGACGCCCCGGCGTGAACTGGGGTCATAGAGGAAGTTGGTGGGTTTAATGTCGCGGTGGAGGATGTTGTGTGCGTGCACGCTCGCGAGCGCCGTGAAGAGGGAACGCAGGTAGATGGCCATGTCCGGGACCGTCATGTCGCGGAAGTAGTCTCGGAAGTCGGCGTGCCGGAAGTAGGGAAGGACCGCCACGACCTGGTCTGTCCAGCGAAAGGCTGTGATCAGAGGGCATACGGACTTGCAGCCCCGCAGGTCATGCAGCAGCTCGAGCTCGTTGAGGATGCGACTCGGGGAAGAGGTGACATAGATCTTCTTGACGGCCACGTACTTGGGCTTGCGACGACGATGCGACTGCGACTGCGAGTGGTAATCCTGGGTGTTGTTCTTCAGTGGTGGTGGCGACCACTTTTCCGCCTCCTTGTCCAGATCCCACGAGTTGTCATAGCTGTCGTATAGCAAATCCTCGGCTTTGTAGACAGTCGAGAAGGTGCCTGGAATGTAACGGGTTACTAAGGGAGGTCCACGCTCAGGGGCTCAGGGACGGGATGATGCCAACCTTCACCGATCCGCTTGATCAGCCGGTACTTTTGCCGGAACCCAGCAAAGCAGTTCTGCAGCCTCTCCATGTCCTGCTGGATATGGCTGTTTTCTGGCACCTCATCGTCCGAGCTCTCTGAGTATTCCAACTCTTGGGCATCCTCTTCCAGCATCTCGCCGGCGTCTTCTGCCTCATCGTCATCCTGCAACGCGCTCTCGTTCATTTCTGTATCCGCGGTAGACGGCGCATCTTCGTGGATCCGGAAGGACTGTGTTTCGGCCTGGAACAAGTCATCTCGACGGCGCGGTGCAGGCACAACCGTTGCCATTACGATTGGGGTTGTCGAAGGAGGCACAGAGTGAGACCACAAGGAAATAAGAAGGACTTTCTCCACTGGGCCCTGTCAAAAACGTTATTGGAGATGCATGAGGCCTTGCAAAGCGCGCACAAAGCTTTGGCCGAGCGTGGGAGGTTCAAGTGAAGGCAAATTCGAGCCGATTGGCCGCTTTTCTTGATTTCCGATGTGAAGAGCTTCTGAAAAGGAACCTGCAGTTAGGAGGGGCAGACACAGACCCACTTCGACGCGCCCCCTGCCGCGATACGCGACTGGCTGCGACCGGCAAAGTCAACAAACAAATTGGGCCGTTGCTACGGGCTCCCCACCTCGCCCAAGCACCTAAACCCAGGCGAATTCGACCGAGGAGCCAGCGTCTTGCATCCGTTATCCGATTCTGCGACACCAACTCGACACCGGCAACGTCTGCAACCAGCCGGCCAGTGCGATTACCGACGACACCTTGTGATAGTCAATTTAATCGTCTTGCGACTCCATCACTTTCTTGGTCTTTTTCTTCCTCCCACTGCACCACTGGCCTCCCCCGCGATACCCCTCATCGGCCGTTGTCCGCCATGGACAGCGTCACTTTCGATATCAACGATGCGCTCAAGCATTACATGAGCGATCCCGCCAGCATCCCGACGCCCGAGGCCGACGGAGCGCTGGCCGACTGCGAGAACGACCCCGAGTCCCTCACCGACAACGCCGTCGTCAACGGCGTGCTGAACCCCATCGTCGACGCTGTGGCCGAGAACCCAGATGCCATCACACGCAGCCACATCTTTGACTCGCTGCAGTTTCTTTTAAAGTGTGCACCCATCTCCTCTGATCCCCTGATGCCCTCCCGCGCAAGCACAAGAGACACGTTGCTGCTGGCGGCGGACACACCCACCCCTGCCCGGCGTTCGCGTCTTCTGGGTTCTGGCGCCACAGATCGTCGTTTGCGAGACCCTGATTCTGAGCTGTTCAAACAATCCAGGTACACGTCCTTCCTCTCGGCCCACGCTCTGAGCAAGGTATTTGATCTGATCACGTCCGGCCTGGCCACCGAAGCCGACGTCATCCACCATGACCTCGAGTCGGACGAACAGGACCTCATCGCCCACCACAAGCAGCTGCTTGAGATGTACGGCTTTTTGTTGCAGTGGACCATCGCCGCCGTCGAAACCAAGGCCGCCGAGAAGTCGTCGACCACAGCGCCCACGCGGGGCCGTGGCAAGCCCAAGAGCAAGAAGGATTTCGGCAAGGACGGGACGTGGGATTCTTCGGCTCAGCTGGAGACAGCGTTGAGCACCATGTGCAAGGTCCTGCGATTGAAGCTCGGCAAGATCTTGCTTACGACGTCAGAGCGCGACACCTTCATCTCACTCCTGACTCGCCCGGTATACATGATACTCGAGAGTGAACAGCGCGTCAAGAGCACGAGCATCCGCATGCATGCCTTCAAGGTTCTCTGCATTGCCGTCAAGCACCATGGTCACGGATACGGTGGGTTTGTCGTCTAAGGCGACAGAGGGAAAAGCTGACATTCTCTAGCTGCGCAAATCTCCATTGTCCAGAACTTGACTTACTTTGAGCACCTGTCGGAGCCCATGGCCGAGTTCCTTCACATCTTAGCTGAGCAATACGACTACCCGCAACTGGCCGACGAGATCCTGCGCGAGCTCAGCAATAAGGAGTTCAATAGCAACGATACAAAGGGACCGAAATCCGTTTCGACCTTCATGATTCGACTGTCTGAGCTGGCTCCTAGGTTGGTCATCAAGCAGGTCACTCTGTTGGCGAAGCAACTGGATAGCGAGGTAAGCAGACCTGTCTTGCGCCACAGCCAGGACCGAGTGCTGACCCGCGTAGTCATACACCTTGCGCTGCGCCCTGATTGAAGTGTTTGGCAACATGCTTGCCCACCTCAGCAAATCTGATGAGAGGGGCGAGAACCACAAGACCCAGATGAACGCATTCTTTGACGTGCTGGAAGAGCGCTTCCTCGACATCAACCCTTACTGCCGGTGCAGGACAATCCAGGTCTACGTCAAACTGTGCGAGTTGGACCAGAAATTTCCAAAGCGTCGGCAGAAAGCCGCCGAATTGGCGTGCCGCAGCCTCGAGGACAAGAGCAGCCACGTCAGGAGGAACGCCATCAAGTTGCTCGGGACCCTGATCCGGACCCATCCGTTCACCGCACTTCACGGTGCACAACTGGCGAGAAAAGACTGGCAGGAGCGCCTGGACAAGGTTGATGCGGAACTCAACTCGCTGAAGCCGCCCGTCGATGCGCCTGGCCTTGACGGAGACAAGGGAAACACCACGGTTGATCAAGGCTTGCTCGACGATGCCACCCAGATCGAGTCTCCGAGAAAACAGCCCGCCGAAATGACCGACGAGGAGAAAGCGGCAGCAATTCAGAAGGCCCAGGAAGAGGCGGCGACCTCCGAAGCGATCGAGAAGCTCACCCTCACCAAGCGGTACTACACGGAAGCACTCAAGTTTATTGATGTTTTGCATGAGGCGACGGGCACCATTTGCCAGCTCCTCGGATCCAGGAACAAGAGCGAGGTTATTGAAGCCATGGATTACTTCGAAATTGGCGATGCGTACAACATCGAGCAGAACAAAGTCGGCATTCGCCGTATGCTCCGGCTCATCTGGACCAAGGGCAACAGCGACGAGGGCAAGGGCGTTCAGGCCCATCTCATCGAATGCTACAAGCGCCTGTTTTTCGAGGCACCCGACAGCTTCAGCCCCAACGACGCGGCCAACTACATCGCGCGCAACATGATCAGCTTGACCTTTGGCGCCACCCCTGCCGAGCTCACATCCCTGGAGCAGCTGCTGAGCACTATGATGAAGCAGGGTATGATCCCGGAACTCGTCATCGCGAAGTTGTGGCAGGTGTATGGCGTGCAGAAGCGGGAAATCTCGCGTAAGCAACGCAGGGGCGCCATCATTGTGCTTGGCATGCTCGCCACCGCCAGCCCTGAGATTGTTGTGGGAGAGATCGAGACCATGTTGCGCACGGGGCTTGGCACTCTCGGCCGCGCTGACCTCCAGCTCGCCAAGTACACCTGTGTGGCTCTTCGGCGCATCAATCCCACCGGTCGCCAGGCGAAGGAGTCAACCGCGACCTTCTCCCGGTTACCCAATGACCACGCCGTGCTGGTGAGACTGGCTGCCATCACTGAGGTGCCCACAGACAGCAAGGACTGGTATGGCGTCGCTGAACAGGCTATCAACGCCATCTACACTCTCTCAAGGCATCCCGATGTTCTCTGCTCTGAAATTATCCGCCGCAAGACGAGGGCCGTCTTCTCCCGTCCGTCGTCTCGGCCAAGCTCACGCCCTGGTTCCCGTCCTACTTCCCGCGACGAGGCACAATTCGCGCCGAGTTCCGCCTCCACGGTTGAAACGGGAGACGGTGACCCCACAATTGCTGGGTCCCAACCTGTTCCATCCAGCCCGACGACGAAGAAGAACAAAGACAACACGGTCGGCCTGTCCCAACTCCTTTTCATCGTCGGCCATGTCGCCATCAAACAAATCGTGCACCTTGAATTATGCGAACTAGACTTCAAGCGGCGCAAGCAAGAGAAAGAGAAGACGATGGCCGCGACAGCCCGCTCCTCCCTCGGCGCCAGCACCTCAAGCCGACGCTCGGCCCCAGGCGCTAAGGGCAAGTCCAAGGTCGACGATGAAGGCGACGAGCTCGACCTCATCGGCGGCACCACTGAAGACGACTTCACCGAGGCCATGGCGCACATCCGGGAGCGTGAGCTCCTCTACGGGCCCACCTCCCTCCTGGCCCTCTTCGGCCCCATGGTCAGCGAGATCTGCGCCAACAATACTACCTACCGCGACCGCAACCTGCAGCAGGCCGCCACGCTGTGCCTCGCCAAGCTGATGTGCGTCTCGTCCGAGTACTGCGAAGCCAACCTCCCGCTACTCATTACCATCATGGAGCGCTCGCCCGACGCCACGGTGCGCAGTAACGCGGTCATTGCTTTGGGAGATATGGCTGTGTGCTTCAATCATCTCATTGACGAGAACACGGATTTCTTGTATCGCCGGCTGGCGGACCCGGAGCCAATGGTCAAGAGGACGTGTCTGATGACGCTGACGTTCCTGATCCTGGCCGGACAGGTTAAGGTGAAGGGTCAGCTAGGCGAAATGGCCAAGTGTCTGGAGGATGAGGATAAGCGGATCGCTGACCTGGCGAGGATGTTCTTTACCGAGTTGAGTACCAAGGACAATGCCGTGTATAACCACTTTGTGGACATGTTTAGTCTGCTGTCGGCGGATCGGAGGATCGAGGAGGAGAGCTTTAGGAGGATTGTCAGGTTCTTGCTTGGATTTGTTGAGAAGGTGAGTCTTTTGCAGTTCTCTCTCGCTTTCCTCTTTCGGTTCTCCCCCGACCGCCATCCGCATGCCCATGCACAAGATAAAATGGTTGACTTGGTTGTGGTACAGGATAAACATGCCAAGCAGCTCGCGGAGAAGCTGGCTGCGAGGTTGGCACGGTGTGACAACGAACGGCAGTGGAATGATGTGGCTTTTGCGCTTGGGCTGTTGCAGCACAAGAATGAGGATATCACCAGGTTGGTGGCTGAGGGGTTCAAGATGGTGCGGGCTCCTGCTTGAGATGGATTCTGCGAAGGTTGGGAGGCTGCCTGATCTGAGTCAATATTCATTGTTGGGGCGTCTGGGGAAGCTTATGGGTCTGCCTGTCTCGTGATATCCCAATTGCATGGAATGGTGGTTTTCTTGTGTAAGGTACAGTGAATCTCTATTTGAGATAGGAAGTTCCACGCTCCGCGCCATGATTACAGCCCCTGACAAAGACCCAAGGCCTACTGCTGATGAGCTCCTCGCGCGGCTTGGTCGGTTAGTTACCCAGTAGCAGACTTAAGAAATTGCTCTGACGATATATGCGACCCGGTGTCTTGTGGGCCCGTGACGTGACCAAAAACCAGCGCTCAGCGGCGTTGGCACAGACAATGCCTCTCAGCCGCTGTACTCTTGCTACCATCTCCTAGGATCGGTGTAGAATGGAACCTATCCATCGCAGTAGCCCCTGCAAAAGGCGTTGGAAACATCGCATCCTCCGCAATCCCCGTGCCGCAGCTAGCATTGGGTTTGCAACCGATGGCCCCTACTTCATGACAACGACAAGAGGCTAGGTCTAGCTTCCTATTCCGTGATTGCTTGCAGTGGATAGCCTCATCGATACGGGCGACGTCCTCATTGGACAGTCGTGCGCCGGGAGCAAGTCGGGCAGCCTCACAGGACCAGCTGAGGCAGAGTGAATACACGTCGCCCCGAATGTTTCGCAGTATATGGTACCCGTGTTCTTTGAGCCGTGAGCAGCAACTTCGTGTGCGATCGTGTCGTCATGGTTGACAAGGCGGCCGGCTGCCCCGGTCCTTGAGAACTCGGCGTACTTCGCAGGCGAGAGCTGGTGTGTATGCCATACCAAGTCGATATCAAGGGTGGGCACCGCACTCGTCCCCGACGGCAAGGAGGGGATCAGGGAGAAGAATCGGCCATATCGTTACCGAGCTCGCTGCAGAGTTGACTAGCGGAAGGGACTATGGTACCACCCGAACCGTGCCATTTTATGGGCGAAGGATGCCTGTCGTTGCACTGCGCGAGCGAGGTCAAAGTTGAGATAGTAGCCTCCGTAGGCGAGCCCGGTTGCTGCCAGCTCACCATACCTGTCGAGCAACACCTTCAATTTGACGTCCGTTTCGTTACCGTTGAAGCGGAATGACAGTAGGTCGATGACGCCGACGTTTTATGCGTCCGGGCTGCCGACCAGACCCAACAGATCCGAATGAAGACCCATTGTTTCGGCTACTGCGGCATCTTGATAGGAAACCTGAAAACAGCCTCCGTCAGGGCGAGTCGCGCGTTTGTGTCTCGATGTTAGCACTGCATGGCAAGAATCATGGGGTAAGATGGGAGACAGAGATCTTACCAGTCGAGACCATGAAATGCCTTTGAGGCCAGCTTTTCCACTGCGCGCCGCCTGGCAAAACGCGTGATAGGCGTGAGGGCTCAGCATGAAGGAATGCCAGGCCATCAGCACATCCAGAGGCGGCACCGACGTTTCCATCTCGATTACATGGCGCGGCGCAGTTTGAAACCACAGAGTGAAACGTGCCACGGCAAGTTTGACAAAGTCTTGCCAAACGTCATCCGCAACCATGCCACTGCTTGCTGCCCATTCCTCCACCCGGTCTTGCAAATCTACGAGGAGCTCTAGTAGCTGGAAATGGGCGGCACAGTTTTCAACGCTCGGGATTGCAACTTTGGAATCCATGCTGGTGTTATCCATGGTGAAAGGATATAGTAAGGCAGGTAAGGTATCGCGATGAGTCGATGACTTTGGCTTTTGCAAGTTTCTGGACGAGATCTGATGAAGCCCGTTATCGAGGGGACTCATTGAGACTCTTATCCAAGTCTGACCCAAGTCCGTCTACCCCTCAACTCTGAGAACTTCCGAGTCTGGGAGACGGGAGTGCGGCTGATCATGCATATACTGTACTGATTTTCGATCCCCCCTACCTTCTCCAATGAAGTCCATCCACGCACGGAAGGGCAGCTCAAGGCAACCTGTGCCATGCCATTTTCAGGCTTAGGCAGCCTGTAAGGCGTCGCGTCAGGTGACGCACAAGGCGCATTAATTGAGGGTACGAGGCAACGATGGCAACCACGGGGCCGCCGCTTTATCTTCAACGCCGGAGCTACCTCAAGGACCCTAGTCGCGCAAAGCCCCAACCTCCTCCCAAATACCTTATCCAATCACTCGACTTCAATGGACGCGGGAGATGAATAAGATGATCGACATCGATGGCCGATATCATCGGGATTGTAGCCGGCATCGCAGGGATTGCAGATGTTGGGACACGAGTATCGCGGCGTCTTCACACCGTCGCCAAATCGTGGAAGCGTGCGCCAGACGATTTATCGCACTCAGCAGAGAAGTGTCGGACATGACAGGCGTCAAGCAAAGCATAGAGGACGCATGCAGGTTCATTCAAAGGGCTCCATCAGCAAGCTCAAGGCTTGTTGCCACCTTGCGAGGCAACATCGACAGAGCCGCGGAGCTTCTCCATGACATCGATTACGCTGTCCAAGAACTTGCCTTGATGCCGAAGCTCAAGCAGAGGTCCAAGTGGCTCGCATTACGGACTCCGCTTGAACAGAAGAGAAAAGGCCTGCATGACCTTCGTGTCAACATTGAACATCTTCTCCGTGCCGATGGGTGTTGTTGCGGGCGGGGGCCGACTTCGATGCCGAGAACGACTATGGTCAGTCTGCCGGGGCCATCGCTGCGAGTCAGATCCTGCTTGGTCTCATGCCTGGCCATCTCATGACCGAATTGGCAAACTGGACGTCTATATCTCGGTTGGTAGACGAGTTAGAGCTCTTCCCAGTCTCGGAATTGGTTCTAGGTTCCCGTCTCGGCAGTGTCGATAGCATGTTGGAGAATCTACCGCCAAAAAGGCTAAAGCTGTATGAATTTGACAATACGGGAAACGCGCCCCTTTACTGGGCAGCCCGGGCGGGAGACTTGAGCGTTTTCAAGGCTCTAGTCGAGTACGGCGTCGATATCAACATCCACACCTTGTCTGGGAAGACGCCTCTGATCGAAGCCTGCGACAGCGTCCTTGGGTCGAGCGCCGAGTGTTTCCGCTGGCTGCTCCAAAACGGCGCTGACACGCATCAAGTCGACGACGACGGATTCAACTCTCTCACTTCCGCTTGCAGCCGGAACACTTTACCGGCCGTCCGTGAGCTTCTGGCCTGGGGGATGAATGTCAACGCTCGCGACGTCATGGGGCGAACGGGACTCGACTGCGCGGCTCAAAACAACCGCGAACGCATTGTCAATACCCTCCTCGACCACAATGCCGATTCGGAGTTAGAGAACAACCTTGGCTGGACTCCTATCCTGGACGCAGTCCTCAATAACTCGCATGAATGCCTCCAGTTGCTGCTAAAACGCGGGGCCAACTACCGCTTCGTCAGCCGATAGGGTTGGTCCATCCTCCACTGTGCCGCGCAAGCCGGGGACTTGAGGACGATGGAGATATTGACGGAACATCGGCTGAAAGGGGTCGACGCGTTCGTCGAGATCGCGAGTGTACGGCACCCTGAATGCAGAGGAAGTGTTTCTCAGACATCGCCGGAAGCATTCCCAAGCCGAGATTTTGTTGGCGGCGCTGAGAAAGCTCATTGCGACTGTCGACCAGGCAAACACGGCATATCGAGCAATTGACAGCGACGAGGGCGAGGAGATCTTCTGTGATGCGTTCGAGTATCAGTGACATGACACACGCTCTACTACCTATCATCATTTGGGTTAAGGACTCAGACTTGTTCTGTACCAGACATTAATGTAGCTACGCTACGTTCGACTCTGTGTGACATGGGACGAGTTGCTATAAATAGGACGGTCAGATGCAGGTCCTTGATTCAACCGGCTTACTCTGACTGATGGGCCTTCTTTGCCATGACCTTGATGATCTTCAACGTCAGAGGGACCACAAAATGCTGACTGGCTTCTCTCCGCGGCGCCCCTGGTTGAATTGCTAAGGTGGCAATTTCATTAAGCTGCTCAGTGCTGGTATGTGGTAGGCGACCCAGACGGTGAGAGGGAGTAATACCACGAATCCGAGACAGAGGATAGACGCACGTTCATAGGTACCTAGGTAGTGTAGGAGAAAGCCGCTATCCAAGACGACCTCACAACTCGCGGAGGATACCATCTGTGGCTCAAGAATGTTTGCTACGAGCCATGACGGCCAGCATTGAGTCGATTGGTGTGCACTGGAAATCTGGGAGAATCAGCGTCTGAAGTTCAGGGAATGCCGCCTTGGTTGGTTGCCCTACGGGCTTACGCTGAAGCCTTATGTCGTTGAGCTGAGAGTTTAGAGACATAGCATAATGCTTACTGCTGATCGCCGTCAGCTGCTGTTGCCACTTCTCCTGAGCCTACAGGCTACGGACACGAACGAAACCATTGAGTACAGCCCAGAGTGCTATCAACTACGCGTTATACTTCCCAGTCCGAAGAAGTCATACTGTAACGTTGTTGAACAGAGTGCGACTCAATCAAGGCCACTAAAAATTTTCGCAGAAGTCGGCAATGGAATTAGCTCAGGGAGGTAATATACGTCCCTTGATCGTGTGTAAAACTTGTTCGAGACTGAGAGGAGTCAACCCGTCCGGATGGATTTAGAGACCAGGCATGACAGTACCTTATTACATGTGTCAAGGGCTTAAAGTCCAGCAAGGCTTCCATTCCAGTGCGACACTCTACAATAACGCGTGGGTAATATGGACAAATGTGATGGATTTCCGCTGTGGACTGAAATTGACCGACTCTCGATTCGGGATTGATCGTCCCCGGCCTGAAACTGACCGAGACTGCACAGACTCGGTCATGGTGACATTATCGAAGTACTGTGATGCCCATGACAGACTGGGGCAATAAGTCTCACTGCGGAACGACTCAGGCACCGAATACGGCGATCTCCACCGAACCTGGCTGGTGATACACTGGCAGAGCCTCTTCTACATAATCTTACGAAAAAGGAGAGTATCAGCTGAATGATCAAGATTCTCTGCCTACCTGGTTACCGAAGCCTCATCTCGGGTATACTGTCGCCCCTGGCATAGATAGAGCGCCGGATTTTCCTCCAAGTGGTCAACTGAACATTCACACTGGTACCTACAACACTTTCTACCTGCGCTTGAGGCTTAAAAGCACTCATCAAGACAGCAATTCCCCTCAGAAACGTCTCGTGCGGCGTACGGCCCCCACAAGGCATCTCCATGGAGATCGAGAATGTACATTGACCAGTCCCGTGATCGCAGAAGCCACTTCAAACATGCGTTTCGTCAACGAGGACTAGTGTTGGTTTAGTCAGGCACTCATTTGACGAAGCGCTTTAACACAGCAACAGTCTCGTCATTAGTTAACTCATTTTTGTTCCGTGGTTGGTGTCGTATTCATATCGCCTGGTCGGGTGTTTGGGCGTGCTGTAGGCTGCTGTCCGCTTCCTTCGTCGAGTCCCGTAGCTGCGTTTGTTTCCGTTTCCGAGGTCCACTGAAGAAGAGCCGAACGTGACGAGGAAATTGCAAGAGGGTGAATTTTTTCACAACTGTTCATTGAAACGGGACATGAGCCCTGCCACTTGACCTTGGTTTGCCTTACCAGTTCCCATTGCCACCAGACTCCAACAAGAACGGAATTGAAATCAAAAAAGGCAATAAGAAAGGCCAGGAATCGTACACCAGCTTCGTTCTCCAAACCAGACAAGCACCCATAATACTAGAACGAATAACCAAACACACAACGCTCAGATATTCCGCCTGGTATCACCCCTCCACAACATTGTCATTGGTATCAATCTCTCCCCACATCACCCTCTCAATCACCACAACAACACCTGAGCCGAGTGAAGAGGATCAACCCTGATCCATCATGACGCCAACCTCAGGCGATTCCCCCGACTCCTCCCCCTGCAGCCCACCAGCACCCACACCCCCAACCCCAGCCCCTCCTCCTCCCAACCCAGGTCCAGCCCCCATCCCACCGGCATCACCACCACCAGGCCCAGACCCCCTGACTCCTCCTCCTCCTCCCCCGGGCCCTTTCCCCTTCATAAGCACTGCAGCCGCCAACCGTGCCTCGTTCCTCTCCCTGCGCAGCCGCGTCTCGGTCTGCTTGAGCTTGACGCGCTCGGCACCCAAAAACTCAGCCTGCGAGCGAGCCTCGTCGCGCTCCACGCGCAGCCGCTTACCCAGCTGCCGCGCCGCGTACAGCTCGTTGCGCGCCGTGCTGAGCTGCATGCGCGCCTCGTCGCGCTCGCGGGCGGCCTGGCGCAGCTCGGATTGCAGGGCCGTTACTAGGCTGCGGAGGTGGGTTGGGTCGTCTGTTAGCGGGGCGGTGGTGATGGCCGGTGGTGGGGGGTTGGTGTTGATGGGGTGGGCGTCCCAGGCCAGGCCCATGGTGTCGATTGTCAGGTCGGGTGGTGGGTGGTGGTGATGGTGGTGGTTGGGGCCGGCGGATGGGATTGGGTAGCTGGTTGGTGCTGAGCGGGCCAGGTGAGCGGTTCGCAGGGCATTGTCGAGGTTTGGGCCGAGGGGGTCGGTGGGTGAGAGATATGGCTGGTGGTGATGGGGTTGTCCTTTGAGTGCGTGGATGGACGGGGGGAAGTGCGGTTCTGTCGCCGAGTGGACGTGGAATTCCTCGGGCGACGACCCGGAGGCGAACTGGTCCTGGGCCAGGAATGTGTTGAATTCGGTGCCGTCGTAGGCGAAGTCGTCGTAGAGGCCGACCATTGGGTGCGGCTCAGCGCAAAGAGCGCTGTTTGGCTGCCCTGCTACGGTTGTTGTGATTGTGGACCGGTGAATTTAGGCAGATCTCGCAAACCAAGACCCTGGGGCGCCTTCTCTAGGGTCAAATGCCGTTCAGCTCCACTCTTTCAACGTCGTATAATAGGTACCGCTGACGAGATATCTAAGAGGTCGGCTGGCAATCTTTGGGAGGTTGCAAAGCGACCCCAAATTCATGCGGGACGTGGTTGGGTTGATGAGGGTGGGATACTCCCACGGCCGAGAGGGAAAGGGGTTTGCCGCAACGGCTTGGACCCCTTTTCTGCTGGTTTAGATGAACCGTCTCACCGCCCTGGTTCCTGGTCGCTGGAGACGCTAGGGCAGGGAATGATGGCTTCGCGTGCTAAGTCGTGGGAGAAGCTTGATCTTCAAAGCGTCTTGGCCAGATTGCGGACGTGAGAGGAACTGTCGCCATCAGGAGAGGGGGTTCTGTCTTCAGTGACGATGCAAATTTGTTCATGTGATCTCGGGGGGCTGTCTCCGCAGGGCTAGACTCGTCAGGTCCGTTGCCAAGCAGCTTCCCCAGGATCGCTTCGGTAACGACAACGCCTTGGCAGGCCAGTGTCGGCAAAACCTTCGGGCAGGAGTTGATCACGGTGCGAGTAGACAGTTGCAGAAACTAGCTGATGAATCAGGTTTGAAACACTAACAAAGAATCTGTCTCCAAAAAGAAAGGAATACAAGAAATGGTGAGGAGGTACTCAACCGAGGCCCGCTCACTTTTCAGCCCAACATTGGCTTGGCGCCGGGAACAGTGGAGACCAGCTGCCGGCTACCGGACACACCGAAAAAAAGTGTCTCCAATTCGCTAGACTGTGTACGGTACCCAGGGAGCAGGCAGCAGTTTTACCATCGTCCGACCGGTGAATGGGGAGTGAAGATTCAATTGTTTTGACCGGAAAAACGCAAGGCAGTGTCTTTTCTGTGCCGCTTGTTTGTGAGGGCAGGGTACCTGAACATTGTGATGCACCATGAGACTTCTGGAAGCCTTCCATAGGCGATCTCTCCCCCATCTTCCCCGCACGCTCTTACCAGAAATGGACGAGCGCACAGACGGCCACGAGTTCGCGCGGCGCTAGAAGCAAGCCGATGCATCACAACCACGTTCGGTTGTTTGGAAAGCCGCCTCACGCTTCTGCCGTCGCTGCCCGTCGAGACCGACGTTTTTATAGCAAAACGTAAAGTGACCAGGTTTGCGCTGGGATGAGGGAGAAGGTAAAGTGCGATTTCCCATCCGTTTCCGTGTTGAGCCCCAACACACGGTTGTTATGCAGCATGCATGTGCGATGGCACTCCCTCAGGCTCAGACTCCCGATCTGCGATGCATGCGCCAACACAGCCCTCGGATCGCAGCAGCGGGCCTCAACATGTCAGGAAGTTGTTGTGGTCAACTCAGCGTGTATTCCATGATTGCTCAAAAGAAGGAAGAAGAATGCGTGCCCTCCACCTGAGGTAGAAGCCTTGGGGGGTTTCGCTTACATACAGGAATGTCAACGCAGAAAAAAAATCCACCACTGGCTCACTGGTCGCCCAAGCGTCACAATGCTTCCCAACCCAATATACACAGGGATTCATCAACAGCTCAGGCATCAAACTATCTCTTTTACTGTTCCCCCCTTCTCTAATATCATCATCCAATGGCTACACGATGCGCATGTACTCCGCCGTCTCCAAAACGCCATCTCCAGGAACGGATGGAGTTCCGTCCCACCTAGTTCACGACGAATCGGTTGTCCACTCAACTCTTGTCCCCCAGGTGCGGGAGATGGCATCTGACTCGTTGCGGAAACTGCCGGCACGGGTTTTCGTGTGACGGGCGTCGTAGCGGCGGCAGCAACTTGCATGTCCTCGATGTCCAACGGGTATTGTGTCGGTGGTGGATATTGACCCGTTGGTGTTATATCACAAAAGCAGTGGAAACGAGCCAAAGTTATTTGCATTGACCATTGGACAGGTTGAGTAAGCTATGGCAGCTGGCAGGAAATTCACTCTTGTACTGCTGCAGGGCGGCGCGGGAGCTTTCCCTAATCGGGGATAGCGCTGTGCTATATAGCCGTGGCGGTGTGAGAACTAGCCATTCCCTTAATTGGCTTCGCGCCTCCGGGCGAAATAAATTCCATCCATCCATCCATTCCCTTAATTAATCTCTCAACCCACCCCCGCCATTATGTCTTCCCTCATCCACTACTCCCTTCATCCATACACCATGATTTCCAGGAAGATGAATAACACAACGCTTGTGGCTTCTCATTGCGGTTGAATCCAAAGCGCCGGAATAGTTGGCGTAGAGGTTCATCACTGGGGGGAATGCGCGGTATCCGACGACGGCGGCAGTGGGCGGTTGCCTGGAGTTGTCGGGGCGTGGTGCCCGTTCTTCGTCGCGCCGGGCATGGCAACGATGAGCGTTTATACGGCAGTACAACTCAGCGGTAAAGTGGTGCGATGATCAGGTACCTAGTTCTTGGGGATAACTTCGTACCAAAAGAGGAGAAAAGAAAGACGACCGGCACGACGAGACATCTTATGAGTACATGGAATTTAGGTGACTGGAGGGCAACATGTGCGCCACAAATCGCGCAGGATGTTCGACCCATTAGACTCGGGAAGGCATTGGCTAGGTCGCCGGGGCTCGGATGCAGTTGGTGATTTGAGCTCTTTCTGCAGAGCTCCAACCAACAGGTATGTCGTACAAGTACATGATGGCTAAACCGTGGCTCGTGCCGCCCCAGCTACACCATGAACCGGAGCTCGGTGACAGCACCCAATCTGTACGTGGTGCAAGTCTCTAGCACCGGTCGAGGTTGGCTGGGACTGTGTCAGCGCATTCAAAAGAGGGAGGGAAAGACACGACAGTCCGAACATACCGAGAGTGCACTCGCTGTCAGTGTAATGACCGCTGACGTAGCAGCCCTGCCCACCCTGGTACAAGTAGTCCCAGCCGCTGCGAGAAAAGAGCCATGGTCAGCATCACCGAGCGTTTGTGTTGGACTAATGATACCCTGGTGAGCTAACTGACCAGTTGGTGGCCCCGTTGATCACCACGCACTCGCCCGACTTGACGCAGTCAAAGGCGAATCGGTCGCCTTTGTCGAAGACATAGACCACCTTGGAGCTGGTGCTGGGTCCTGCGCGACATTTGACATTGTTCGAGCCCACAATAGAGCAAACCCGGGTTTCGCGCTTGGAGAAGCCAGGGGCATGTTGGTCGGTCTAGATTTCGGCCGGCTCGCGGGCCTCGATGTCGGCAACCCCGTCGTCGGCGACGGGAGCGGCCAAAAGGCTCTTGGGAAGGAAGGCGGCCGTGAGGAGAGAGATGGGCTTCATGGTGACGCTGGGTTGATGGGAGCTTGGAACTAGAAAGGGGATGGGCAGAAGAGTTGAGGCGGCCGGTGTTTGTCCCCTTTTATGTCTGTTCATTGTTCCCGTTTCGTGCCTCCCTCTCCTCTGTGCACCTACCGAATCTGTCCTTGCGTAAGATGTAATCAGGAAGACGGCGTGATTGTTGTAGCGGAAGTTACTTAAACCCGATTGATCCCTTCGCTAACGTCGCATCAATATCCACTTAGTTCAACTCACAGCAATAGTGCTACCACCTCGATCGATTCTTCGGAGCCATTGCGGGATATGAGGTGTCAACAAACCACGGACACAGGGTTTGTAGATCTGCATGTGATTCCGAGAACGAAACCTACCTGGTAATGAAGTTGAAGTCAACCTTTTTATACCCGGCCTGTGGTTATCACCCCAATACTCACCGGGCAAGCTCAACTAGAACTACCATTGGCAATGGATGGCAACATACGACACAAATACTGTACATTTGTACTCTGCGTTCATGTTGCCTAGCAACGGCTATTGAACGAAAGTTGAGATAATCACCAGATTGAAGTATAGTAACTCAATGGCACCTAATAACATATCAAGGTCGTTGGTTAGACATAGAGCATTCAAGTCATATATTACCTCATACCCTACGGCCAGAGGACACTCGTTGTAAGATATTAGGGTACCTTATGTTCAAGCCGTCAATGACTCAACTGACTCCTGTACTGATACTTTATACGGTACATACACCGCAATTACACTCAAATTCAAGAAATATTGGGCAGTGGATCAGATCGAGAAACCGTCGGGTGAGCATGCTCAGTGTGACGAGGCAGAACTTCGCCGAAATGGAGCGTATCCGTCGGCTCGTTGTCGAGCCCAGAGAGATTGGAGGTGGCCAAGGCGTAACTGGAGGCATCTGGGAAGACGGCCGCCGACAGCGTGAAGCAGTTGCTCTGTGGTAATTGCCAGGCGATGTCTAGGGAAAGCCGGCTGATCATGCGGCGGAAGATAATCTCCCTCATCTTCCGTTGGGTCATCCCGGAAATCTGCGTCACGCTTGACCTAAGGCGAAGCCACTGACCGAACTGTCTTGCGAAACGGTTCATCCAACAGGCTGCTCCAACCAGGACGGATATTCATTGAACATACTGACAATCCGCAGCCAGTAAAACCATAGTTGACCTCAATCACTCCTTAGCAGTAGAGTCACTCGGACATGATAGAGTATCAGGACTAGCTAGGACAGGCCGGAGCTCCATGCCGCCAAGCTGTATCCATACTTAATGCTCAGGCTCTCACAACACGATATGCTCTGAGAAGACAGTCACGCACTTTGAAAAAATGAGCCGATGTGGATATTCAGGAATAGGTGCGGAATGGATTTCATAACAAAAACCGCAGGCAGTTCAACGTCGAACCCATCTCTGCTGCCACCATGGAACCATACGGCAACTCTTTCCAGAAGCGTCATCAACGACTGTGCTCCCGCTGCGCAGTGTCGCCCTGGGCGTTCTCGACCGTCTCGATCCCAGTCGCTTGAGCACTCTTGGACCCAATCATCATCTCTTCTCCCTGCGTCGCATCGTTCGCGCCGCCAAACAGGGCGTCAATCTCTTCCAGCGGGACCTGCTTGGTCTCGGGGATGAAGAAGAAGACAGACGCGGCCAGCAGCAGGTTAATGCCCGCAAACATGTTGAATGCGTAGAAGCCGCCGTTGTCCAGGAAGATGGGGAAGAACTGCTTGAAGATGGCGTTGGCGACGTTCAGCACCTGCGAGCACATGCCTACGGCCTAATCTCTGATGTTCATACTCCAGATCTCGCTGGTGAAGATCAAAACAGTCGCACCCCACGATGGCTTGTCTGCGGCGGATCGGTCAGCGTGATACATGGGGTTGATGGGAAGTTAATCAGAAGAACTCACAGAAGAAGATGAACAAGAACAGCAGGAACACGATTGATATGCCAACTGAAATCGTCTTGGAGCCTCCAGGGGACGGTGTTCTGGTCTCGAGGGCAGCGACGATGACCATGCAGACGCACATGCCGACACCGCCAACCATGAGCAAGAACTTGCGCCCGAAACGATCGATAATCCAGATGGCGTTGAGAGTGAAGATGATGCCAAACGTGGCGTTGAGAGCGTTGATGAGCGCGATTTGACTCGAGCTGGTGAACACCTTCTGGTAGATCTTGGTCGAGTAGGTGTTGAGTGTGCCCTGGCCCGTCAGCTGTTGGCCGGCGTTTATGACTGAGCAGAGCAGGAGACGCTTCCGGAGGGATGTGTCGTTCCAGAGCGCAGAGTAGCTGCCCGATATGGCCTCCTTCTGTTACTCAATCGCTTCCCGAATTCTCAGCAGTTCTTGCTCCACCGGTCCTCAGGCGTCGCTCGGACCTCCAAGAGGGCAGCCCGCGCCTTTTCGATGTTGTTGCCTCGTTGGATGAACCTGGCTAGTCAGTCAGGCCGTCCCGAGGGAGTTACCGGAGGAACTTACCATCGCGGTGACCCAGGAATCGTCGGCAGAAGGGCCAGAATGATGCACGGAATAAGGAACTAAAACATGACCACAATCTTCCAGTCCTATTCACCCAGGTTCTGCTTGTGCTGCGTACAGCCATAATTGACCCAAAAGCAGATGAACGAACCGACCGAGTAGAAGGTTTGCCAAAAGGTCATGATCTTGCCGCGAATCTCGGGCGGCGCCAGTTCGCCGATGTAGGACCCGCCGCTTATAGTAGGGTGGAGATTGTCAGCATCTTTGTTCTCAGGGGCCGAGAAGTGGTCCGTGGTCCGTACTCAACGCAACGCCCTGGCCAATACCGATGATGCAGCGGCCCGCCAGGAAGCACGCGATGTTGTGGCGCGGAGAGAAGGTCTGCATGAAGGTGGCGCCAATCACCAAGACACAGCCCGTAGCCATGCCCACCTTCCGCCCCAGGTAGTCGGCCACGGGGCCGCCGAAGGAAGAAGCCTCCAAATATCACACCGACTGTGTAGGCCGTATTTACCGCTCCGATCGTATTAGCGTCCGAATTGTTGAAATATGCGACCCAGTTCTTGGAACCTTGGACCGAGTTGTAAACGGACGCATCATAGCCGTACAGAACCATGCATGCCGCCGAGACAAGGGTAATGTAGTGGAGAGAGACGTTGGGTTAAGCTTTAGCCAAGAGTTCAAGAGATCGGAATGCGTACCAATTGAAGACTCTCGTCGAGCCGAAATTGAATCCCATGGTGATGCCTTGCTCTTGGCTGCAGTCTAAGACTCTTGGTACAATCACAGACAGCGACGGTTCAGGAGATGGCGTTTCTTGGTATCCGTCAAGACGGGAAGGGGGATGCTTTCATATGATACCAAGACCTTATCAACATTCTTGCATCCGTTCCAAGGTTCCTTTAGACATGCTAGATTAGCCCCTGAGAAGGATCGAATCTCCGCCACCCGGATTCTTCGATCGGTGGAGTCGCGAGGGCGGGATGGCCAACAAGCACCTGGGACTCCATGGGGCAGACGGCCAGGGCGAATCTGGAATTCGGATCGAGGAATTTCAGGTAATAATTACAGTATATTAACTGCGCCCGTCGTCTATCTTCCACGAATTAGCCCTGAACCGCTACGAAAGCGATAGCGTCTGCCAACTAAATCCGCCATGGTAGGATCCGAGAGTTCCGTGATTCGTCACGTTCAGGACGTCGAGACCATGCGTCGACCAAACAGATTGTTGGTGGCGAGGGGTTTCCACGCGAGGACCACGCGAGACGGAGGTCCGGCAGTATGAAGGAAGTGAGAACAATGCCCCTTAGCTTGCTAGAAATACTTTGACATTGAGGAAATAAACACGGACCAGCTTTGTCTTCATGTCTTTCTCTTCCCTCTCGTTTCCCTTTTGTTTCCGTTCGAAAATAACTCGTTACCGTTCTTTCACGTTGCTACAGCCAAGCCAATCTCTTAGACCACCTACCCAAGGAGGCGAAGGTTTGAGCTAACGATCAAAGGGGGCCAACACTCTATTCCTGAACTTCCGTTTCGGCATTTCGGCGTATTCCTATCATCGAAGCAACTTGCTTATCCTGTACCGGTGTTAACTTTCGGGCCTTCCTCCTTCCCCCTCTTCACAGAATTGCAGAGGGATTCTCATAGCCAGCGGCGACTGGAGTGTCATAAATACCAGAGTCCGTACTTCAATGCTCTTATGCAGCTCCTTGTTCTCATCCAGCCCATTCCTTACTCTGCCCCAGGTCTCAACAGCGCTCCAGACAAGCCCGTGTGTCACCTCCGTGCTCAGCTCACACCACGAGCGCTGTTCGCACAAAACGCGCAACGGCAGCTTCCTATTTATCTCGAGGTACGATCGACAACACCTGCCACATGCGGGACGCGGTTAGGCCCCAATGGGCGGACCGGGCGGGTTAGGCAGCGGTGTTGGATCCGTACCCCTTCCTAAGCTGGAGTCCTTAACCTGTGTGTAGGCCGCTTGCGAGGCATCCTTTGGCGTCAGCTCCTGACACCAACCGATGATCTGCGGTGCCGGGATACGGATGGACAAGTACTCGCCCCGATGAGCGACAGCTGCGGCGGTTCGATGCTCCTCGGAGCTCTCGGACTTGGACACGCTAAAGCACAAGAACCCGCCGCCCGCGCTCATGCTGCGGTGTAAATCATCGACTTGGGACGAGTCCCAATCCTGATTGCTGCGCAGGACGAGGTGGATGTCCTTCGCGACGATGAAAGCGGTCGGATAGGAAGGTAGCAGGGAATTCCAGGCTGGGCCGAGCTTCTTGGCTACCAAATTGTGGTCGCCGGTTTCCGGGTTGAGAGCCTTGACAACGGCGTCGGGATCCATGGCGCTGATGGGCGTCGACAGGGTGCGGTAGTAGTCCTCGGTGCGGCGCAGGACTGACCCATCGAACCACGGCCGGCCGACGACCACCTTCATGGCGCGGAATCCAAGGCTGATCTCGCTGCTCAAGGCGAGCGACGACGCTGACTTGTGGGATTCTTGCTTATCTTCGCTCCCCGATGCCGAGCCAAAGAAGAAATCCACGCTCCAATCCATGTGGGATTGGAAGGCCGAGGCCATCGAGTTCTTCCACGTCGTCGCCGTGTCTAGTTTCCACACGACTTCTTGCCAGACCGACGCGAATTGCTCCTGCCGCGGTAGGACGGGTTGAGTCGGGACGACGCGTGCGGGAAGGCTGGTGGGCTTGGGCAGGATCTTGGTTGTGGCAGCGGTAGTGCCCTCAGGGGATCCCTCGGGAACCGTGGCATCCGGGTCGGGCACATGCACGTCAACCCCAAGGGGGTTTTCCGAGGACTCAAGGATCTTGACGATGTAGTTGATGTCGATGGTCAGAGATGTGATTCGCTCTTGCATGGTGGCCACGACCGTTTTGGTGTCGGATGCGCGACCCATGGCAGCGGCTAGCGATGCTCTTGCGAGCGCCTCGGATGCACTTTGTAAGGCAGACTGGTTCTTGATGCACTTGGCCTGCATGTCCTTGAGCTTGGCAAACTGCTCAGTGGTTAGGGGCTTCTGGTTCATGACCTCGAGCGCGCCGTTGAGATCACCGCGCTCGACATCCTCTGCCACCGTGATGCCCTTGCCCTTGTCGGAATTGCGTGCCTGCACATCGAAGTACATCTCGATGGCGTTGATGGCCGCATCCGAGTAGTTCTCAAGCATGGCGTCGCGGGTCTGCAAGAAACTCGTCCGCGCCTCCTCCACCTTGCGCTCGAGCGCCTCGACGTCCTGCTCGGCTGCCTTGAAAATGTTGAGCTGCTCGAGGAGGATAGCTCGCTCCTTTTGCTTCTCCATGAGCTCCTCGCGGATTAGCGTTTCGCTCGTGAGCAGATCCTCGGGCTTGAATGCGGTGCTTAAGCTCTTGGCCCAGGTGGATGGGCTGAAGATGACCGGGTATATGTCCTCGCTATCATCAATGCTCCGCATAACGGACGCCCGCAGGTTCTCCTTAGCCTTGAGAAGAGACTCCGAGGCTGAGCCGACATCAATCAACCCCAAGAAGTACCTCACGCGGTGGTACTGGCCACGGACGACCAGCAGAGTCCAGATCCCTTCGAGACGGGCGTCGACAATGGGAGCATAGGTCGATAGCAGCCGGTTGTAATTGTCGATCTCGGCTGGCATGGCCTTGGTCATGTCATTGGGACGCGCCTTCACCTTGAATGTCGCCCAACGGAATCTCTGGGACTCGTACACGTCGAGGATCTTTTGATAGAGATCAACGCGCGAGATGGTCCGCAAGGGCGAGTCGAACGCATCGTCGATGGTGTTTTCTGTCTTTCCCCCCTCGATGGGCTTGGCGGCGGCTGGTGGCGGCGGCTTGTGCTCGTCGTAATCCGACGGGATATCGGCGAGAAGGTCCTCACGAGGCGGCTCCCAGTCGGCCACCTCCTCGAGGAGCCAGTCGTTGATCTTGTCTTGATCAATGTGAAGCTTCTCCAAATTTGGGTTGGAACCGCTGGTTGTTGGCACCAGGTTGAAGAGAATCTGTTCGTACACTTGAGAGAGCTAGTGTGGGAATTGCTTAGGCTGGGTTGCGGTATGGAGACGCGGTCACATAAATCACGATGATGGGGTTGAGGGCTTGAGCGCACCTTGGAACCGTTCGGCCCGGCCGAGATGTTGCCCAAGGTCATCAGATCGTTCGAGAGACGAAACTCGGCGTCGGCAACCGTCTGAGGTTTGACCTGTTGGGCGTCGATCCCATCGCTGCCGATGTAGTCGTAAGTGCCCTTGTCAAGCACCCTGGCAGGCCATTCAAGCTGGAAGACTTCGCTCGGTCCCGTCGCAAAGTAGTCGCGCAGCCGATTGAAGATTTGTTGCATCGGCGTGAAAGCCTCTGACTTGAAAGGGACTGGTTTTCTCTCTTCATCACCCATGTTCAACCTGAAAGTCGAATAAGACTTGATAGTATCTTGATCAAAGTTAGATTTCGAAATTTATTATAATGAATTTAAACCCCATTCTTCTTTCAAGAGGGGGAAACTTACCAAACCCTGGTCAAATATCGGTGAACGTGATTGAGTTACCGCTGAACTTGTTACCGCTATAGTAGAAAGACCCAACTCCTGAGCTCATATGACGAAGTACGTCCACATCATGGCGCTTTTGTACATCACTGCCACACATCGTCTCGTCCAGAGACACACTCCAAGTTCCCGGCAGCTCCATGTTACTTGATTGGTCACGCCGCAAACGTGCATGAGGAGCTGATATCATGTTTGGTGCGGCCGACGTGACTGTCTATGAACCCTGCTCTACAATGTCTTGAAAGGGTTGGCCACGTCACGGACTATTTACGCCACGCATCGACTGGGCTGCCTGAACTGCAGTGGAGCTAGCGAGGTCGTAACTATTTACGCCACGCATCGACTGGGCTGGCTGAAGACGCTTGGCCGCGTCCCGTCAGGCAGTAATACCCTCATTGTCCAGGCAAGAGGTCGGGCAGCACGAATTCTCCATGTCTCCACCTCTCCATCTCTCCATCTCTCCATCTCTCCATCTC